GCCGTTACAGTTTGTTCTGGGCAAAAAAGAAAAAAAATCTAACATCTGTGATTGAAAACACATCAACTGCAACAGCATTTTCCTCTTTACTTGTTACGTATTTTGCCAAATAACAATTCTTCCATGGCCCCGAAATTATGGGACAACCTAATGCAGGTAACCAACGCGTATCTGACTATACCGAGAGACTCGTGCAGCGGTGACGATCTAGATTTGTATTCGGGAGGTATTTGGTTCGAAGCCTGGGTCAGAATACGGCCAGTGATTAGCAGCTTTTATGTCTATGCAAAGAAATGCTGGGACATCGGCTTAAAATAGACCAATGTACTCTTTCCTAATTCGTAGCTACTGAGCAACTGCATCATTTTACGGTCTCCTTACAGGCTATAAAACTTCTTCAGTTGAAACGGGGTCTTCAACTTAAGGATAAATCATTAAACATCTGTTTTACGTTTAATACATCCAGCCCATGCTTTCCATACAAATACCATAACAACAGCAATGCCACCTTTTCGTAATTTGGTCTTTAAAGAGTGTACGACACACATTTTTTAAATGCGACTTTACACCAGTCACTCGTTTTGAGTTTCATTTAATGTTAATACAAATCCACTGCTGCGAAGCTTCTCACGCGTGCAAATATTAAAGTACGTACATTTCTTTCACTTCGTTATTAAATACATGTCCTACACAAAAATTTGTTTCAAATACAAGTTAAAACAGGTCTCAGTGAAAAACGTATATCATGTCATGTGCCAGTTTTCTTTCCTGAATTTATTTTAGATTTAAACTTAATATAAATTGATGTAGGAATAAACTATATTCGGCCCATGGACAGTATTTATTCTGGCCCGCGAATACGAAGCATTTGTGGGAACCACTACCCCTTGCAGAGTGTGAGTTCAGGTTACAGTATTCCTAATGAATTTGCACACCGGGCCATCAAGATGGCAGCTGAAAGGTAAGAACAGAAGAAATACAAAATAGGAACAGGCTTACGAACGAACGTTTATTAAGTGAACTGGGACGCCACACCTGGCATTCAAGTGAGGAGATGAAGGCCAAGTAGTGCCAGATATTGCATTAATGGTGACTAGATTAAATAGCCTCAGACAAGAGCATACAAATTACTTCAGTTAAGTGTCATATGTAATTTAATTAACAAAAATAGTTTTGCGAATATGAGGATGAACCATTGGATTATAAGACGGTGGGAAATTTCTTAATCAGCCAACTGAAATTACTCAAATTAATTTTCTTTAAATTAAGATGATGTTCTTGGTTTACCAAACAATTATACCCATTTCTTGATTTTCAAATAGCTGCAGTTTATGTTTCTTCCTCAAAGTAAGGGACAAAGTCATTGTGCTGGTAAGATTAATCCTTTGGAATACTAACAAGATGTCTTAATTGAAGCAATAACTAACTTCACAGCAAAAGATTTTCCTCAAAAGTTACTCAGCTGATAAAGAAATTCAGTGATATCATTGTTGATACAATTGTTGTTCAAGTGAAACATGTTTCACAATAAGTTGCCTATCATTTACAACATATGACGTTTATAAGTCAATACAAGACAGATAAACTGAGACACACGAAAAAAACTTGGATCTTTACAGACCAATAAATTGCCAACCTTTGGGCCTATCAAGAAGTCATCTGTGCTGGGATAGGAATAAACAATAAGTTCCTCTTAAAACTGAATGCTTTTCCATAAATAGAAACCAATTTAAAATATCATCAGAAAATTACTTTTGATTTACATTTCTCCTCTGGCGATGAGTTTACATTATTAAGGAATTACTATGATTAACAAACTACAATCAAGTATTTATGATAATAAATTCTTATGTATTTCTCCATGACTACTTCTTTATTGTATAAATGTTGTAGGCAGAGCACTTGTGCAGTGTACAAATATGTATATGTAAATAAACAATTACATATTTTTATATAAAACACCTCTATTGAGTTGGTGTGTGTCTATATCCATAAAATATCATCATCATATTCATTAAGTATTAGGCCAAGTGGCCTGTTACAGTTTCATTCCATATTTTTAACGGTCTTCCCAGGCTTCTCTTTCCATTCGGTCTGTAGCTACTACCCTTTGCAGTTAATTATTCAATAATCATCCTATAATCTCATAACATAATTACTTGGTTGTTACTAGGTAAAGATCATGCTTATGTTTGAAAGATATTTTAATGCCTTTAGTTACCAACTCACCAGTTTAAAATATCTGTTTCATTGTGTTAGTAGGAAAGATTCCTTCAAAAATTCTTAAGACGTTCAGAAATATACGCTTCTTAACAGGCAAAGCTTTTGATGTGAACAAAAGATGCACAGGTGTGCAGTTACATTTAAACTCAGACCACCTTTAACCCTGATGAACTGGGTACATGTTGCCTAGGAGGGTGAGTGAGCCTCAAAGTAGTGCCAGATTCAACAGTCATGTAAAACTCCAAACCCCTACTGGGAGTCGAACAGAAGAAATTCAGGTCACAGTCAATCACTTCACTGAACTCTTATGACTGATGCTGCTGCTGCTACTAGCCCTACTACTATTACTACAAGTACTGCCTTATTAATCATGACGTCCTGGCCCGTATTACACCAGTACAAAGGCAACCTAACCTAAGATTATATTCGTTTAAGTGATGTACACGGAAACTGAATTCAAACATTATTGTAAACTGCCAAATTATTTCCAAGTGATATATTCCATTTAAATTTTCAATAAAATCACAGTGTTGTACGTCATGCTGAAGATTCACTGCTCGAACTATGCTTACATTTAAACGCTGCTTCAAAGGCCAATACTTACGTTTTAGTAGAAATGTGCTACTCTATTAATTGATCTATGCTTTTCTAAGTTTCGCACAAATTCCTCAATTCAAGTATGAAATACAACCACAACCATCACCTACACTTTACACCATACACAATACTCACAACCTCACCTCGCACTCACTAAACGGTACTAATACGTCATTTCCTCTTCCTATTGTCACCGCCTTTTTGATGACATCGAAAAATGTATATCTATGGGCAGCATGGCTATTTTCCTCTGTAACATCATGAGGTGGCAGCACCAAACAGCCGACGCAGCATTCGTAAAAGAAAAGCAATATTCTTGTGTGGAGTGGTATAAAGTGAGCTGATATCCATGACGGTAATTTACAGTCAACTACAGTATTACCACAAAAATAATTACACAAGAAAGCATGCCCACTGTTGCTTATAAGTATTTATAATAGCTGAGAATTTTTGGTACTGTGAAGGACCTATGGAATGTAAATAAATTGTTGTGTTTTAATAGTATTGACATGATTAACAAAACAGACAAAAGTAAGCAGAGCTGATGGTAACCTTTTAGAAGGTTCTGGTTTGAGTGTGATAATAATATGTGTATGGAACTTGGAAAAACTGAATGTAGGCTGGGCTGAAGTTACTCACACTTGCGTCAAATAGACTTTTTAAATTATTATGACAAACTTTGTGTTATTTAACAAGATTTCATCTTCAGCTGCATGATGATGACCCTGTTCCAAGGCATTATTTTGTTAGTTACATGGTCATAAGTGACAAAAATTAGAATTTGATTCTCAGCTAAGGAAGGAGATTTTCTCTTCACCACATCTTGACAAGCTGTGAAGAGCAGCCTCCTGTCCAATGCGTAATGAGGACTCTTTTCTCAGGAATAAAATGGTTGCAACAAGGTGATGTCTACTGACCTCCATCTACAACAAAAGTGAACCTTCATACCCTTCGTCCATTTTCACAGCATAGTGCTTAAGCCAGAATAACTTTACTTTATCCCTTATGTTAGAAGTTTGATCTCTTTTTCTGTGTCAACAGTCAGCACAGACAGAGGGCCTAATTTTCTGTGCAGCATGCATAATTACTTCCTTATTTGCTGTCTCAATCACAACAACATACTTACAGTGTATGTAAGTCACATTTAATTTTGGTATTACTATTGCTGTTGCAAAGGAGGGGCAGGGAGACTATGTCTCTATGGAACTGTGGTCACTAACATGCCCAATGTCCAGGCCCCAGATGATACATTAGTGAATAATTAGTTAATGTGGAGTAGCGGTGAAACAATACTGACAGGAGGAAACCAATGAACATGGAAAGAAACCAGCCCCAGTGCAACTTTGGCCACCACATATCCCACATCGAGGAACTAGGCCTCTGTGGAAAGAGATTAACTGCCTCAGCTGTGGAATGATTAATTTGGAAACCACTGCTTACCAATTATTTCTACAAATACCTAAAACACACAAGAAATTTTTGTTCACAACTGAGAGATACTTGTTTACTGTGGACATACATGATGTTCGTATTAAAAATAATTACCAAGTATCAATTCACTCCATTTTATTTATAACTGGGTAATGTGTCAGTGCCAAATAATACCATAGTACCCATAATTTTTACCTGTTGTTTTGAATGTTATGTCTACTCTGTTTTGAGTCCCACAAGACCAGTTTTGTAGTTGTGGTGATATGTATGTTAGATGGGTATGCTCATGTTTTGTTAAAATGCATTATGCGTATTCAACTCCATTGAGTCAGTACAGAAAAGTCAGCTGATTCAGTGAAGTACTTCACCATTCAGTAAAGTTGAACTGAGTAGTGTGTCTGACTTGAGAATAAAAGAGGCAGTCATAACTAAAGAAAGCTAGTACCAGTGAGTGAATGGAATTGAATATGTGATAAACAGCCAGTCAAGAACCATAGCAGATTGAGTTAAAACATGTCTAACACCATGTTTCTTGATTCACATTTGAAATTAACTGTTGAAATAAAATGTTCAATGAAGCTTTATTGGTACTCACATTCAAATCTAAAACAAGATGTAAACTATTGCATTACATGACATATTACATAAATGGTTAAAACAATGCAACTGTACACAACAGTTTGCCCACTGTAAGGCTAGGCTCCATGTGCAGTCCAAAACACAGAGAAGCATGAAGACAGGACAACATGGGCTGACTTAATGGTGTACCTAATACTGAATTACTTGCTGTCTAGTAGGGATAAGATACATAACAGGGTTCTTGTACTTATCTGGCATTTATTATTTCGAAATAATGCAAAAGAATAGATGCCAAACAATGTTACAGCTCCACGTAAGTTCACACTATTCCAAACGCGATTCTGATGGATGGACTAAGGTATACTATGTAAGATTTCCTACAAAACGAGGGATATATATGGGAGACGCAAATAAATTCACTCTATGACTTGACTGTTTTGAGGTTTAAAATCAAGAGAAGCGCTGTTTATACAATATCTAAGACCAGTTGGTTTTGGCCCATCATCGAACATATGGCCTAAATGGGCACCGCAACCTGCACATGTCACTTCAGTACGTATCATGCCGTGAGAAACGTCTTTGTTCAGTTTTATACTTTCTTCATTGGTAACATCGCTGAATGCTGGCCAGCCACATCCTGATTCAAATTTGTTTTCTGACGAAAACAACTTTTTTTTACATACAACACACAAATACGTTCCTGCTTCGAATAACCCCGTGTATTCACCACTGAATGGGTACTCAGTCCCCTTTTCTTGTGTAACATGATATTGAAGAGGTGTTAAACATCTCTTCAAATCTGTTTTTGAAGAATTATAGTCATTATTAGAATCCATACGTTTTGCTGACATTATGATGGTACGAATAACAAATACGTTATATTCACTGCACGATTTGAAAGAATTTGCTACATATCGTTCAGAATACATGCACTTATGCAAATGTCGTAGAACGCTCGAAGTTAATCTATACGAAAACATTCCAGTCTTATTCTTCTTGCGCCCAAATAAAGCCACAATTTTTTTGCAACTGACATGTACTTTGGTACCACAGAAAGCATCATTTCAACTATGTGACCAGTTGCTACCAACTACAACACAGGGTAATCACTGACATAAGCGAACGTATGTATGTGGTCCATTATGTCTTACTGAAATTTGCCTGAATGACAAACGTTTGCTGGGAGAAGGCTCCATTGTCCAGTCATTTCCATTTAGTGCTGATTAAAAATGTGTAATGGTGTCCCTCTACTCTCCCATGCAACTTCATGGTCTAGTATTTAATTACGCACATGGTTATAGCATCATGACTGATGCTTAATTAAGCACAGGTGTATTGTTTCCTTTACCTTTTGTATAACAAATATAATCTTTAAATCTTTGCATTACAAAAACTGCTAATATGCAGAAAATCGTATGGAAACACTCACTCTGTTCACATATACTGAAATATATTTTACATCTTATAACAAAGAGCAGAGCATGTTAATCATATTAGCCCAGCTAACACTCAGAAAGACAATTTCGGTACTTGTGGGTTATCGAGACACATTGCTTTAAAAGTAGGTTAGGTTGTCATTTATTGAAATAAAATATAATAACTTTCAAGTATATGTCATTTATCCACACACATTAACCTAACCTAACCTATTTTTAAAGCGATGTGTCCCGATAACCCACAAGTACAATTTCTATGATTTTAATAGCATAACATCTGTTGTATGCCTGTGCTATGTTCTGCGTCAACAGCCATTATTTTCACTCCTGCCTTGCAATTTGGTGCACACTTTTGAACAAGTCATACTCTGCCAATGTGTATACTCATTCTAAGATTTAGATGAGGACTGCCAAGTTATCTCTCTCCCCCAAGTGCTATACTGGCAACTCTTCTGAGCATATCTTTCCTACTATTTTCTGATATTGCTCTGGTTAAAGAAACAAAATTGAATACTGTCACATTTGGCAAAACCATTTATAAAATCCATGATATGAAAGCAAAATATGCTAACTTTTTACATTTAAAGGCATTACCTTTAGAATACAATGTCAGTAACAAAAGTCAACACTTATGGAAGCATATAGTATTGTACCATACTTACCTTTATTGCACAAAGCCTCCTTAGTTCCTTTCTTCATTCTGTACCATGCAGAAAGTATGGACCACAAATACCAATAAAATGGATTCCCTTATTATGAAGCAGCATCTTTAGATTTACTAAGGTTCGTTATCCATAAGTTCAGAGCGTACAAACAAGTACTACGCTTTGCCAGGACAAGATGAATACTTGTTAATTTCAATGAATTCTGGTATTGGGAGGCCTACAGTAGAAAGTAGTAGGCAAATTTAATTCTGGTTTCCACCAGTCAAAACAAACCCTAATTCCTAATTAACATTAAGCTTCATCAAATTTCTAAAAAAACACTTCACTGAATAAAAAGTGGCTACACTGTATTCCATTAAGATCTGCAACTTTTATTCATTTGGGCTACATATTTCATAAAATGCAACAAAAATAAATTGTCTCTGTGTAACTTCAGCTTTTAGAGTTGAGTGAACTGCCTACTTTTCTGCTCCACCAATCAGCACCATCGTATCCTACCCACCACTTATTACCTGTCCTGTATGAGGTTTCCAAACATGCCCAATCACCATACATTCCCCCAGAAGAAGGCAATTGCAGTGTTTCCCAAAATGTTGGATAATTTTCAACCTTTGTGGTTCAAACACAAAAGCCAAAGTTTCACAGTGACCCCCAGCCATGAAAACCTAAGGACAAGAATATATACCTCAATTCCATGTACTGTTGATTATAGCTGTCAACAGCAGATTTGTATGTACAATAATGAACATTCAAATCAAGAGCAATGCTTAAGTTACAAAGAACACATTTAGAAACTACATGCACTCAAAATTAGATTTGTTTGCTATTATCATACTTATGCCTTTGTAATCTCTCAACTTTCTCTCTTTACAGGTGAATTAATCATAGGAACTGATACAGAGAAGCAAAGTATGAAAATATTATAACTCCTGAGGCAACATGATTTTATGGATAGCATATTTCATAACTGCATTCTGTTTTCAGAACTGGAACAAAATTTACTTCCCAAAACCATTGTATTATCTGTACTAAAAAATAATTGTCATATATCTGTAACAAAAGTCTAAAAGAAAAGTGAACACCAAAACATCCAACAACAAACTATCATAAAGCATTCAATAATACTGTAATTCAATATGGTCATAATTTTTAATATCAATTTACAATTACATCACAACACTTATGTCTTGTAGCAAGATACAATTTTACGGCACTTCTTGAAGAGGAAAATGTCAGTTGTGCAGTAAATGCTTCAAAATATCAACATTATGCATGCAGCATTCTTACAGGAATTGTGACCAGAAAATTAAGGTTAGTTACTTGAGAGCAAAGCAGTGTATGAATACATTGTATTCAACTGTTCTTTATTTTCTAGGAAATGTTTTGTGCACAGATATATATTGAAAATTGATGCTATTTAACACAAATATAACTAATAATCACTGATTAACAACTCTCTGAATATGTATTTTATATTACAGGAAAACACACTGATATATTGCATTTTCTACTATTGCAAATTTTAATTAGAAATTTGACCATACCATTCTGTGGTTAATTATTCAATTCTGCAACACAGGAACAAACTTTTCCTTCCCACCTTAAATACTACACCTTTGCTGTGAGTGAACCAACCAAGACAGCGAGGTAGGTTCTGCTAGACCTGCCACTGCTGTTCCTATTGCATGTAGTTCATATATATATATATATATATATACAGTACTTTAATGAGATGACATAACAATGCAAAACATTTTCAACACTTTTTACTATCTTGCAATTGCACCCCAAGTAGCTTAGGCTTGTCAATGAGAAGGTTAATTTTATTCCAGCAGATAAAAAAGACAAAGCATCAATAACAATCACCACAGAATGCTGCAATTTTGGGCACTGAATGGTGCACCTTCCACCATGGCTCTCAACAAACTTACTGTAGAAAGTGAAATGGCAGTACTTACTTGAATACTGGAAACCACATAACCGTACAGCATTTTGTCAGGAGCACATCATTTGTAAAATGTACAGTTCATATAACATTTAGGAAAAAGCCATCACCTTTTAGCTGTTCCTGACTCGACTAAATATACTGTGGATCTTTGATTAAATGCCTAGGCTTTAATGGTAGCACAGAAACTGAAAAGAAAATTGGCTAGTCAACTTGAAACATTAGCATACAAGTATGATGTATTCTTTGATTTGAGCATGAGTTACAAATTGACTTTAGGCTTTCCATTATCTTCAATATTTTCATATTAAAATATTGTATTAAAGCGACATAAATGTTAAATTAAATACCAGTCTGAGCTCAAATTGTATCCACATACAAGCATAGAAATTGTAAATAGTGGTCAGGTGTCGAACAGCAGTGATGTACTGGAACAGAAATTGTAAACAGTAACACAGACTACTATGCAAGCATTTCCAGTACATTCAGTACACAGAAAGCATCACTGTTACATGCATATCTATTCCCAGTTCAAGTGAAATTATTAGTCATGAAGCAAATATGAAGATTTCCTTTAGTTATTACTTTGAGTTGTATGAAACATTTGTCAACCTGAAACCAGGATGATTCTAAAGGGAAGAAAAGACTTCTAATTTTGGAAAAAACTGATTCAAACATTTATAACTATTCTTCAATTGACTTTTGCACAAATAAGGACTGATATAATAGGTACCATTATACTAAGCAAACTTTCCATACAATCCATATCAGTGTTCTCCAAATTCTTTATTCAAGCAATCGATGATTAAAAAAGAAAGATATTTTAATCAAAGCCTTATAACTTGAACAGGCAGATCATTTTTGCTTCACTGACACTGGAAAACAATTTTTTCCCAGGAAACATTGTCTTTTCAGTAAAATCTGAAAATATGGAATGTTAGTCACTCACATACTAGGTGATGAAAGTCTGAAATACACATTCAATTATTCAAAGGTAATCTCTGGGTTGAGGGCATACCTTGGGACAGTGCTTCTGAATTTATAACCCTGCCAGAATAAAATCCTTTATAGGTTGGATCTCATACTAATATGCACCATTAGAGTAATGTAAGTTTATAAATCACTATATAACATTATATAATGTATGGAAGTTTTTTATTTATAATGTCAAACAACCCAGGGATTATCATTTTCTTTCCACTGCAACAGCTGTTCCCAGACTGTAGTTCAGAAATGCCTTTGATATATGCAAAATAATTCAGGGGTTCATCATGAAAAAATGGCTTATCTTTATATGGCAACCAGTTTAAGAAATATTCATGTAACTTATATGGATGCTGCTTTTCTATTTGTATACTTGTTTTTATTAAAATGCCATTTTCTGTAACCTATTCCACTCGTAGTTACACTGGCTTCCCTTCCTTTCAGAAAGGAAACAATGCCCATAGATTTTGCTGCATTTGGATGGGGCAGGTAAAGTATGTATATGGAGGTTCACATACTTCACTTGGGAACCACAGCCTTAAAACTACAACCTGCCTGCAGAAGTTTTCCAGCTCACAAGAAACAACGTTCACACAGGGCACCTTAATTTGTATGAACAAGCATTTTTTCATACAGCAAACATTTATGTACATACTCAGGCAAATACAGCATTGTGCATTTAGCATGAAACCCATGTACACTGCTTGCATAAAAAAGCTGCAGATGCTTGGAATGGTGTTCAAACAGCAGGCAAAAAAATATATAACATAAATAAATGGAGGAGGAGGTCTTCTAATACCTGACATTGAACAAGAAATAATTTATTTTTGTGAAGTCAATGACATTTTTCTCATGTCACCAAAACAATGTTGTCAATGATTCTTCACCGCTGCATTTCTCACTTTACCAGCCACCGCTGTTGCTGCTGCTTTACTGCTCACCTTGGTAGTGTACCCTTATTCTTTATTTGATGATTTATCTTAGCACATGCAGCCTCCTTCTGAATCCTGTTGATCATTTTGCTGTGGTGGATGTGTCTGCAAATCAACCGCTACAGTAAAACTAGTTAAGGGAAAATCTCATATTGTTATGAAGACATTAGCAAGTTTACTGAAAGTTACAGAATGTTAATTAGAAACTCAGAAAGTTACGTGCAATGCATGGACTTATGGTTTTGGATGACAATTAGCTTGATATGATGAATAGGTATACATCAAGGTACTTAAATTTACACTCTGGACTCATGATTAAAAAATAATATTCATATTAGAAGATTGCTCAAATATCTTGAGCTCTGATCCAGCAATCAACTTTCATATTTATGTTGAAAAGAAAAACATGAAAATAGTAAAAACTGTGTAATGATGAACTTCACAAGTTTGATCTTCACTTAACACAAGGATGATTGGGGCATGTAGCATGCATACAAAAACAGAAGAGCATATGAAATGTTAACCATAACACCTTTAGGAAAGACATCAATTGGGAGAGAAGATAAAATATTAAAATAGATCTTAGAGGACAGACTGTGAACTACAATGGACTAGCTCAAGGTATAATCAAAAACTGAGATTCTATGAAAATATTAGGATCCTTTAGGTTCCATACCAGAGAAATGTTTGATCAGCTGAACAAATATTAACTGCTCAAGAAAGACCCTATACCAGGTAAGGTCACTCACATCAGTTGTTCTATGGAATGCAATGTACACTTAAAGTAAAACACTCATAGCATAGTAAGATTTATATTTACTGCGTAAGTTAGGTAAATGGCTGTGAGAACATTTTTGTGCTGTTCACTTTTAAAACATGTAAAAATCTTAAACAATTACTGAAAGCAACAACTAGGTAGTGGGGAAACTTGGACTTTTGACACTCCATGTGGCAGGAGTTTTATTGTGCATACAAATTGCATATCCTCAAAAAAATTCATGTCAGGTACAGTTGTGCTATTACAGTTAATCTAAAACTATAACAGGAACATCACAGTTACAGGTCACACACAAGTGGGGTGACAACAGTGGAGGTGGTGCACAAAAGAGGTGAAGAAAGAAGGTTACTAGGGGGCCATGGTAAGGATCGTAGGATATTTAATGATCAACAGCAGCAGTTATTTAGTGTCACAATGTGAGACAATGATCACATTAAACGAACTTCAAAGGAGGTAGGATTTATCAGAAATACAGTGTATAGTTTCAGATTAAAGTAATTTATGTATCACTAATTATTAGCTACCTGATTTAAATACAAATATCCCCTCTCCAAGTCGGGGCATAACACTTTTAGCATGTTGTGCAGTTACTGCTATGCACAGAAATAAGCTACACTTCAAAATATTTTATGTACAAATGTTACTTAAATATAAATTATTAAATGCAATTTTAAAATTACTAAAGCATTATAACAAAGCCACAATTGATTTTCATTTGTAATCAGCAATTCAGTACAAAAATCTAATTTTTTATGCGTCAATAAAACGCATGTCAGCAGGTCAAAAACACATATTCAAACCTCTTATTTCTGATTTACCACAAGGTAATATAACAAAATAAACATTTTCTTTGTTTGTGAGGCACTGTTAACACAACAAATGATTGTACTATCTTAATATCTTAACATTCAGTTCGGCAATGAACAATATCACTAGCTAATACACACACAGGGTGAACACAAATGACCAGAGCAGATTAAAACATTTAACAACTAAACTGCATACAGAAATGAAACTTACACTATGGAAAGACAAACTTCAAAAACATTTTCTGTGGCATGCAGAAGTGAAAAAACTGTAACAATGCCACTAGCACAGCAACTGCTAACATAGCATTAAAATGGCAACTCAACTCAAGAAACACTTTTATATACTCAAGTTCCAGAAAAATCCTAAATGTTCAAATTAAATTTGCTTTCTTGGATTGAAGTGCATTTTGCTGTAATTCCAACAGCTGCGGTCCTAGTGGTGACCAACAGAGTTATATCACTTCTTTCACATGCTATAACATTTTTGAAGTTCTCCTTTCAATGGTGTTTTTCATTTCTCTACATTGTTTAGCCTCTGTTAAATACTGGAAACTGGTCAGATCATTTGTGTTCAGTGTGTGTGTGTGTGTGAGTGTGTGTGTATGTGTATTACACACAAGATACTGTTTACGACTGCATCATTTTCAGTACTGACACTAGACAGCAAATATCACTACCTTTAGGAAGCTTTTAGAAGTACTTTTAAAGGTGACAAAAGTACAAACAATAAAGGATAGGAAGAACAAAGGCAAGGGATGACAGTATGAAAGAAATCACTTCCCACTAAATTTCAACAGGCCCTTTCGACTAGTACACATGTAATGTGAGTGAGGAAACAACCTTCTGCAATAGTGTACCATGATACTATGACTACAGCTAGCAGTTAATCCTGTTACAGAAAATATCAGTTCCAAATGCCTCATCACAAAATTCTGTATCTACAAATTCAATGACAACATTATAACTATAATTTCTTTTCAATACATTTTAGCCACATTACCATCCGCTAATTAAGTACTTATGCCAATGTAAGCAAGTTTGTTTGTATTCCTTCTAAAAATCATTATAGAAATTATCTGCAAATCACCACAGTAATTTACATAAAAAGCCATCAACATAATGGAATAATGTTTCACCATAATGTAGCAATTCCATTCAAATAAAATAATTTTTGGGGTTCAACAGGTTACAAAATTGTCAAGGAACAGGGTTGTCACATATTTAGTATCAAAAAATATGACATGTCAGCTTCTTTTGGGGAGGAGAAACTAAGTCATTCTTTGATAATTGAAACTGAAGTTTTGATGCCTGTAATACCAACAAAACATTTGATCTTGAATCAGTTCAACACAGTTCGAAACCTCACAACCTACTGATGATCCATTTTAAACATTATCCTTCATATCCCACCTGTTCTAAATTATAAACAAGGGAGTGAATGACAGTGCTACATGATATTATTCTCAATATGAGACATCAGAAGGGGCAACTTTCCTCACATAAGAATTCTGTATGTGTCATTATTTCTTGATTGCCCAAGAATAAAAAAATGAGTTCTATTAACAAACAACTGTATCCTATAACCATGAATACCTGCTTATCTTCGCATCATTGTCAGCACACCAGCCATGCTACCATGCATTCCTCATATCAAAACACCATAAAATAAAGTATGTACAAATAGCAAATGTTACAAAGCTCTACAAATTACAAAACTGCTTTGCTACTGATCTGTGCAACAACTCATTAAACAAAAAGATATTCTTCCAAATTATTATGTAGGCTTATTTCACTGCACTAACTGATAAGCTCAATAGTGTGTAATAGAAATTAATTTTGTATTAAAACAGGCAAATATTAAACACACAGTGATTTGAAATAATGGTCTCAAAGCAGAGAGCTTTCACTATGGATGTAAAATAAATGACAAGAGGAATAATAATTACAAGACACTAACACAAGTTTGTGTTGTTGTAACTGTGTTCTTAATGTTTTGAATATACAACATACCCTAGTTAATTGTAACCTCATTAATTATTAACTCACGATGTATACTGATAGGATCAAAATTGAGGCTGTAACTATTTATGAGTCTTCATTCTACTGGTTGAAATACCTATCACAGTCTCAACAATGGCAGCACATCATGAGAAGAATAAAAAATCTAAAACTCCCCTGATCCTGCTTTCCCATAGATATGTGAAATAATTTCAATCTAGGGAATTAAATTATTATGCATATACAGTTTGGGTTAAATACAAATCAAATCTGGGACATCTGAGATCCCTAATCTCCTAGCACTTAGCACACATGATTAGCATTTCAAATGTGCCTTTGTCCTTTAACTCAAAACCTAATGGTTGCTCAGCTGGTCAAGAAATTGTTAATCTTTTATTGTATCTAATGTTTGGCAAAGAGTACAATTATGATGCTCCTTAAGGCATAATTTTTTCCATCCTACTGTTACTTCATTTCTCTTGGATTTAAAATATTTTTCTCAGCACTTAATTTTCAAAAGCCCAAAGTCTCTGTTCTTCCTTACTTCAAACTAATATAATTTCACATCCACATATAACAGGTACAATTATAGTTCATATCTATGTTTTTAGATAGGAGACAGGAAAGTATATATGTATTCATTTTAACAAAGATTTTTAACACAGACTTCCTATCATTCCATTTCTGAGGTGCAATAAATCCAAGAATGTGAAAAACATGAAAGAAAATCAGGTACATCCAATATCACTAGTGACCAATTTGGATATTCAGTTCTACTTGATTAACACTCACTGAAATGTATGATCTGAAGCTTTCACAGCGAATAAGTATAACAAATTCTTCTCAGGCTACCAGCAGTGTCAGGTGGTTTAATGAAGAAAACACCAATGTTTCAAGAACCATCTTCATCCTCATCCTCAGGGTACTGAAGCACGCATGTTTCAAATGTATTTGCTGCCTCCATCACCAGGGCTATGATTGGAGGCAGCAAGGACCTCCAAAATGTTGGTAACCTTCTACCAGACAGCATGGCACTACAACCCCATAACTTTACAACAAATACATTAACACATGATGCTAAATGTGATACTGTCTCCCCAGCACAAATTCACTCTTGAATGGTTCTTGTAGATCATGATGGCATATTGTCAATTTATTTTGAACTGGACATCTCAAAATATTTGCCTACAGGAATTATGATGTATGTAAGATGGATGCTTAAAGTAATATTACAAAATAAAATTAAGTTGTTCTTGCAAAGAACACACTTCTGCTTTTAAGAGTTTACACACAACTGATACAGCAGGTGGATAGCTCAAGTTATATACCTAGTACACCTCACTTTGTATTTTTCTGTTGGAAAAGTAGATTAATATTATAAGCTGCATTGCTTTTTGATCACCTGTATTATTCATAGATGCTCCTGTAAATGCTGTTCAACACAGAAAAGTAACAATATGAAACTTACAAAACAAGGCACGAGCCACAAAATGAAGCGTTATGGTGTTTGCAAGGTAGAAGACTGAAAGTACTTCTTCAATGACATTTCAATTTTTTAATAAGCCATATCACCTCTGAGAGAATGAAGTCAGATGTCCCAAAAGTCCACACATGCCCATGTGTACAATCCATTTTTATTACAAGTTTGAGTCTGCACATGTTACCTAGCCTAGTTCCATCCTGTAGCACCACTCAACATGTACAACCACCTTCTTGATTTTTCACTTCATTTGGAGTATCCTTCAGCACAACTTCTTGCACTAAACACAACATTAAGGAAAATAATAGAAGCAAAAGAAAAAAAAAACAAAATGCTAACCACTAAAGTCTATTCGAATACTCTATTGGTGGTTCTCAAGCACAAACTTACTATGGCCACATTTATTCATTAAATAATGTTTTGATGTGGATGTTCCCAAACACATTAGCTTTATTTGTTAGACATGCAAAAAGCATACAGGTACTGAGTTTATTCAGGGTATGCAGAAAACAAAATGCAACACTGAAATGAAACTTGTAACACCTTAAATCAGGCTACTTGAATCGCTGCAACAGAGCAATGACTATATCAACCAATTATAGCAACAGTTAAAATAATACACTGCAAAAAGAAACAAACTGCCTCTTATTTCCATTCATACAAACAAAACCACATGAGAACAAGAGACGGTGGTAAAGTCACTTAGTTGGGACGGCTATAACAGAGTATAAGAAACCATTTACTGGTAACGTGACATAGATCGTGTCACATTTATTTGCACATACCCTAATTTTTAAGAAAATATATTTTTTTATCCCATAATTTGTTTCTTGGTTTAATACTATACCATGGCCTATTCTAAATAACTACCCCAAGTATTTGGAAGTACTAGGAAAACTGCAGTAAATTCTGTCAAGATACACAATCAAGATTCATTCATTCATTTATTCAGATGAGTTCTCTATAAAGAAGACTGCATCTAACAATGGAACATTCAAGATGCAAACAGTAAATTTGTTATTTTTAAACTTTCTGCAATAAACCAGATTAAGAACACAATACTATCACATATCACTGAGAAAATATTAATCTTATAAGTATGAGCACATAAAATTCAGTTGTGCCCTAACGAGGCTGGACAGAGGCTGAGTTTGACAAAGACAAGCTTGCTGCAGGTATTAAAAAAAATTATGCCAACAGCACGTGGTTTTCCCAAGCTGTCACCCATCCAAGTACTAACCATGCCCAATGCTGCTTAACTGCATTGATCCGATGAGAACCGGTCATTTCAACATGGTATAATACAATGTTCACCTAATTCTCCTAAATCTACAGTGAATTATAAACATAATGTTATGCTAAAACACCTCATATTCATAAAATTAGGCAATGATACATGGAAATGTCATTCACTACACATTTAAAATTTTCTTGAATGCAAGAAGATAAAATCCCACTACCTGATGTGAAATATCTGATATCCACAGTCATATTAGAAAGTTATACTTTTCATGTAATTACATTTTTTACATTCATATTACAATAAAATACTGTACTTTTAAAATGCAAACCACCATAACAATAACTGATTTTAAAAATTCTGTTCCTCTCTTCCATGGAAGCAATTCCAAGGTTTAATCAATATTTATAAGATATCTTCTTTGAGTACGGAACTAAAATTGGTGCTGACAATCTTTCAAAACTACAGCAGATACAAATGGTCAACCCTGTAAATTCTAGTAATATCCATATCAAATTATTTTACCAGGTAGCAGCACATATCATAAAATCAGGCAAATGGAAGGGTAAATGTACCTTAACCAAAGCACAAAGAGCATTCTTACACATTTTCATTTACATATAAATGTAGGTGCATCAATGGGTTAATTAAGGTTTAATGTTTACTTCTGAACTAGCTGTAGGTAACAAAGCTTTCCAAAGTGCGTCACAAGAAGAGAAAATTGCATTAGAACATTAATGCAGACATGCAAAGAAAGAACACTTCTACTTACCTTTCTATTAAATCTTCATATTAGTCCATCAACATGCCAATAACAAAATGTTGAACAATTCAATCTTCTAACTTATCTGGTGGGAAACATCCTAAGTATGTTTCAAGTTTAATTCTTTATGGATTAATAAGTGACTAGTATAAAAGTCGTATGATGATTCTCCAGACTGTCAGATTGGTACCACTGTATTCCTCAAATAAATACTCTCAACAGTTGTTTCAATATCACAATGCACACATATGTTACTAGAAACCAGAAGTTTCCAAACAATATCACTTCATAATACTTCAATCTAAACACCAAAATAAGTAAATCCCAACCAAAAACGGTGTTTTCCCTGAGGAAAGTAAGAAATTAATGTATTGAATTTTAAAGGGATATAGGAAATTTATATGTCATGGATGAAGTACTGAAATGGCACAAAAAAATAGTGAAACTGGAGCTGAAGATCTGATGGAAACATTACCATGATATAGTCCTATACGAAAGATTTTAACTGTTACATCAGTAGATTTATAACTGACCATTAATTCTTTCAAATGGCTATAGCTTTAAGTTTACTTTGTATAGGCAGCATACCAAGAACCGAGTTTCAATGTTGTTAGTGTTGCCACACTCCCTCATATGAAGTTATCATCATAGAAAAATGATCCACACATATCTGCATGACAAAGGAATGACACAGGACTTGATCAAGATTCTTGCAGAGACAAAACTGATCAGCCTCCACAACATTTGAAATGTACACATAGCATTCCTCTGAACACCATACCAACACAAAAGGCATCAAATTTATACCACCACCCTGGGCATAAATTAATTTCTCCACATCCCCATACACGACAGCAAATAAAGCATTGTTGTCTGGACAAAGGATACTGTCTTCCGGGGGCTTGTTCTCTGTTGAGTCCATACCAGGTAGAGCAGCTGCTACGCGCCGGAACAGCTGCAAAACAAACTGTTTGATGTTGAGAAGGCATTTTTACATTTGTATGACATGAAACTTCTAATCCCTGCAAAGGGTGTGTCCTATATTAGAAATTCTTATTTCTAGATTGTTTTTCTGAGACACCCAGTTCAAATCTAATCTGGCGCATGCACAATCATAACAAGTTTTCAAGGGTTTCCTCAATCCCTTTGAACCTTCTTTTTCCACATTCCTTCCAATTAACAATTTATAGTCATCTTAATGTACTTTAGTTGACACAGTGTCATAATATAAAGCATCTATATACAGAATTCTATGATGCAACAGAAAATGTGAGCAGATGGAAGTACCTATTGGGGTGTATGACTGCTCATTCAAAAACTGATGATAATTATTTATTGGGCATAGTTACCTGCTTAACATTGTAACCAGCCTTGGCACTGGTCTCGATAAACATAACATTGAGCTCCTTTGCTTTGCGCTCTCCTTCTTCTGTAGATACTTGTCGCTTGTCTGATAAATCTGTCTTGTTGCCAACCAGCATTATAATGACATCACTTCCACGCTCTGTCCGTACATCATCAATCCATTTGGATGTTTGATGGAATGAATTAGCATCTGCACAACCGAAACAAATCTATCACAGTATAAAATGTAGATCCAACTGCTTTTAATAATGATAGGTCAACAAGTAGATCTAAAGACTTGTTTTGGTAATACAATGGGGGGAATGTGAAGGCCAAAACAGCACATTTTGCCAGTGGTTGTGACAGATCATGACACAGCTCTTTGTATGGACATTTCTAATATGCCTGTACAGTTTGAGGAACAACAATTACTCAGTACAAAATGGGGGTAACCACCAACATTTTGCCTATGAATTTCATTCCATCTTTGAACAACCACTACTCCACCAGGAAAAGGAGGATCAACTACATAATGTCACTTATATTTGACATGTTTGTTTTTTCCCAAACTTTTTATTAATGTGCAGAAAATGCACAGGGCATTACTTCACAATATTCTTTACATAGATGCAACTTGATACTGCCCACTGTGCATGTGTTTGAACAAAATATTTTCTTGAAGTGAATGGACACGACGTACTCGTAATGTCGTAAACAACAACAGCAACCGTAGAATCTCGAATGTATGATGGGATGAGGCTACGAAATCTCTCTTGTCCGGCTGTGTCCCACAGCTGGAGCCGAACCTGATTCCAAGAAAAATTAAAAAGAAGCATATTCACTTATAATGCAATAAAAACTGCTTATTACATTACAAAATACAATGAATTAAGTTCTTTCAACTAGAATATAACATAAATTATGAATATAACAAATACCTTAACCCTCTCAGAGTGAAGGAGTAAGTGTTGAAAACTGAATATTGAACACTTCTGTGTCCTCTCTTAACATACTATCATCTTTACTCCACAACCAGCCCAAGTGACATGACACAGATGAAACATCTAACTTAGGAATTAAAGTAATAACAATGTGCTACAAGGTTAGGACTATCATCCACCTCATGAGGTGGTAACAAATGAGTATGGAGCAATGTTGGAATGATGATTAGGGGAGGGAAAACAAAAGAACTCAGAAAAAAAGTCCAGTGCCACTTTTACCAACACAAATCTCACTTAGTCACCCAGGATTCTGCCTGGGTCTGTGGTGAGAAACTAGCATCTAGCCATTTTATATATAGTCTACGATTTACAAGCATGGCAGATCTACATAGACTGCCTCAATAGCCCAGTCAGTTCAGCAGCAAGAGGGTTCAAGGAGAAAAGGCTATTCCAAAGCTGAGGAGCATATTAGAATTCATATCATAATGTATGTATTTACAAATTTACGAAGTACCAAAAAGTGTTATCACTATTTTTAACAGATTATAAACTCACAAATATGATTTTGTTTGTTTAAGGGTTAGTTCTTGCAATCAAAATAATCCAGATACTCACCGTTCTGTCTTCAAGGTACATTGTTTTTGATAAGAAGTCTATTCCTATGGTTGCCTGGAACAGAAAATACAGTGTTAGTTCTCTTCTTACACTAAATTCAGTTGATACAAGCCACACACAATAGCACTCGCTATAAAGTGTAAAAAATGAATTATAAACTAAAGTGAATAATGAGTAAGAAAGCAACTGACTAAGCAGTGGTCAAAGATCTATGGAATGAAGAGTCTAAGTAGAACCTGTTTAGCAATCTCAGACAGTTCCACGAACAGCATCTTGAGAAGACCTGTTACAGTCCTTGTGATCAGATTCCAATACAAAAACACAGTGGATCTTGTACAAAAGTATGGGTCTGCTTTTATGGAGCCAGAGATCACCAAATAGTTTGAATCAACATCATGGACAAAAGTGGTGTACACAATCATTTTGGAGAACACATGCTGCATTATGCAAAATGAAGTTTGGTGTCAGTATGATAATATCCCCAAACATGCTTCCCACTTTCTTCAAGACTGGTCTGTGAAGAAGCCTCCTCATACTGAAGTTACCAAATTGGTATCCTGACCTAAATTTTAACACACACATTTCCTGAATTTTGGCAAAGTGTCCAATATCAACTAGAAGGATCAAGAAATAACAGAAGATTTATAATAGTATGATCAGTTCCAAGCTATAAACAAGTCAAATGGACATTCTATGAAGTATCTGTCTGATAAACATGCAGAGGTACTGAGAACACTCGTTACTGGGTGTTGTTACGCAATGTTACTTGCAACCAGCCTGTTCCTGCTGTTAAACATTCTTTTTCGTAATTTAAATGTTTATAAGACTTTATACTTGTTCTTGTACATTAATAATAAACAATCTGTAATGCATGTTATTGTTTACCACTATACTATTATCTAAATAATTATTAAACTTCAATGGTATTCTTGCTTTGACCACTAAACTATTTACACACAATTTAATTCAGGATGAAGTCTGATGCTAGAACTGAGCTTGTCTGTCTACAGGCTAGATAGATGGGCTTTGAATCCTGGCATATTAAAAGATTTTTCACTTCACAACCGTAATCAGCATAGTACTTAGACCTAACCAGCACCCTAAATGACAAGTACCAGCAGCTGTCTTTCCCAAAGGCAAATCATCTGCAGTTCTGAGCTGACTGCTTCCATCTAGTGCTGTTGACAATTCATCACGACATCATGGTTAGGCACAATGACAATTTTATCTTTTTCATACGAATTTAGAGGCCCACAAAGTTAGCAGAAGTAATAAGCTTGATACGATGTCTCAGAATCTTACCATAAAACTGAGGGGTTTAAAAGTGTTGAAATGTCTTTCAGGTAATAACAACCTTCTTCAAGAGTTATGAACCCTGCCCCCTCCTACCTCAGCCAGACAGCCTGCCGCCTGACCTAACTCACCCCTACCTGCACCACAAATGGGATGAGAGGAAAAGTCAATATGTGTAGACACACTGTCCTGAAAACATTGACCAACATGATGCAGAACTAGTTACGTAAAGATGAAGTAAACTGATCATTAAAAGTTTAACTCTGCATACAGAGCCTTCTTTGACCACTGCATCAACAAATCTGAATGTTTCTCACATCACACAATCCTAATTAACCTTATCGCAAACCTGTTCAATCCAGGTCACATCTCCACAACTCATTTATCTATGATCCACTTTAATATCATCATTCCAATTTTGCTTAGCTTACTGAATGTGGTAAGAAAGTAGTTAATCATTCCTACTTCACATTCATGGAAGTCACAGGTTCAACAAATCTCAGTCCTAGGTCACATATCCTGATTGAGGTATTCTGTAGTTCTTCCAAGCAATGCTGTGATAGCACATTAAAATACACCATGACTGTTTCCTTTCAGATCCTTCCTCACTAACATCTTCCATTTTACAATATGTAACCTAAGCAGCCAACAAAGTCATTAATAAAAGTAAGAAACTAAGTAATATTACAGAAGAAAAAATTTCAAATGGAGCAACACCATATTACTGATGGTACAGAACTACAATCAGTAAGATATGATGATCTCTGATATCACGACCTTCATACAAGTTTTATAACAATCAAATAACTTGTTTAAAAATTATCCTTAAGGGAACACTGTAATCCCTCTCAAGATAAATGATAACTGAAATTATGATGTATGTATGTGACAACTATTCATTCATTATTAAATATTTCTTTTAGTGTCTCTTTTTCCCTTCCAAGGAAAAATTAAAATCAATGTTGCACTCTGTAAAACTTCAAAAAATTATATCTTTAAATTCTTCAACTATCACATCACCAAGTCCAACAGAAAACTGAACAGTGACTGAAATCCTGTGTACCAGATGGAGAGGACAATAAGACTCTTTAACATTTGTATACTTCCAGGATTTTAAATGCACATTTACCACTCATCATGAGCATGCACTTTTCAAGAGGGGTGCATGGAATATATATATAGTCATGAGCATACTAAAAATGTTTTCATGTGGATGTTAGAAAATATATAAGGAGCTTCAAACACTGAACTGTACATAGTATTTAAATACTAAGTTCATACAGAGTATATAGAAAAAAGAACTCCCAAGACTTGACACGTTAAACATGGTTATTTCTGAGTTCTTTAATTATTCACAAAGACAGAGACTGCACTTAAGTTTCCAAGCTGTATGGCCAGATGATCTGATGTCTGTATATCTTAAAAATCAGGAGCCATAACAAGAAGTATGCACTAAGCTACCAATGCTACAAAATTAAAAAGCCGGTGAAATTACTCCATATGGGTATAGTTGACTCACGAGCCATAGTAATCCCATTTCTCCTAACTCAACAAACATCTTTCTCAGAATATTACAATGAAATGTTTCTCTTACCTGGTAAGTATTATCAAAACTATCATACATAAATCTTGTAATTAGGGATGTTTTCCCAACTGAAAAGAGAAAAGAGCAAATTAATCACTGGTATTATCATATTTGTTAATTCTTGATTCACTACACAGGGAATGTTCATTTGATACAGTAATTGCAGTAATCAACTATCTTTCCTGACACCCAGTGACATTTCACAGATAACAAAGTATCTAGAATGATCTGAATGAATGGATGTCCCAGTCATCAAATTATGACAAAGGACAAGTGCTACAAAATTTGGGGCATAAAAATGAATAAATAACAGGAGGGAAAGACAACAATACTCCTCATGTAATACTATTAGGGTGATTAAATAAAGGGGGTGAGTGGGAAATGTAATATACATGGGAATGCATGCCACATTTTCAACAGAAAGCCTGAAGCAAAGGGAAACTGATCTTAGATAACTAGTGCATGGATATGAACAACCACAATGAATAACCAATTAGTACAGTTATAGCTCTTGCTGTTCCCACCACACAGATGAATCTTGTGAACACGGTAATGAAACTTCATGTTCTACAAAATCAGGATTTTTTTTTTTACTAACTCAGCAACCATTAGTTTTTTGAGAATGACTTGCACTATGCAGTCAGATTCTAAGGCATACAAGATTTGCTGAATAGCCAATATACAAAGCCAAGGAAAAATGATCAACAAAACAGGAGAGAATAAAACAAGTAATGGAAGACACCATAATAAAAGAAGAGGACATGAGTGTTGCACTTTGTGAACCAATATACTGTATCTCCCATGGGTACAGTATTACCAGAAACCCAAATGTCTATATCCACTCTGACCTCAAGCTAAGGAAAGTACTACCCACCTAACAAATATATGACCCGTCATTCTGTATTCTTAAAACAAGTGTGAAACTTAAAATGTCAACACAACTGTCACACACAAACAACTGATTAATTGACAAACACACTAGCTGGCTGATTGGCAAACTGCTTCTTCAACCATCTATTGACTAAACGTCTGCCTGACTGACCACAAAGAACCAACTCAATGATTAGCTAAGTAATCACTCAGCTCAATGGTACAGGGTCTTGCTTGAGTAACTGACAGTCATTCGTCTGGTTAAGATATTCTCTGTTATGGAACTCAAAGGTTTGCATCCTCACAACTTCTATTTCTAGGATTTATTTTAACATTAACATTGCATCTACACTTAAGTTTCACATGTGATCTCTTCTTGCAAGGCTTTTGAAATAAATGTTTGTGTGCATTTTGTTTGAGAAACTTGGCATGATACAGAACATGGGGACAATCTTTAGAATGATCAGATTTTTAAATCACAACTTCCATTCAATGCCTAAGTGTTCATTCTGCATATAAAGACCTAAAATTAAAAAAAAAATGAATGAACAATTCCTTGGTTCACTCCTAACACACACATATTCAAGATGCCTCTAGTACTATAAATAAATTATGGCTGGTTCCCTAAATTTCTCAAAGTCCCTCCAGATGGCAGTTGTCGTTGTGCTTTTCTGTTTTCTTTTCATATAGGAGAGACTTAAAGTGTATTCACATATTTGATTATGCACTGCCAACCACAAAGACTTGTCATGTCACAGTATTCCTTTAGCTTAAGGTAAAGGATACAGATAGAATTCCATCTACTTCACATCAAGCACATTTTATGATTCTGTAATACACTTCCTGATGAGGTTTGGTTTATTTTGTAAAGTAATTCCAACATTTTCAGAGAATCATTGGCATCTACTCACAAGTCCAAGTCACCAAACCCTAGGTCATCTTCCTCCTCACTGCTGTAAAAACCTCAACTCTAACAACATTTCTCCACTACAAAGATCATTTCATTAAAGCAGTCTATTCTCAGAGTCATTCAAAACTTAAAAATATACTTTATGGACAAAATGCAGAGTAAATTATTGTTACAGCAGGTGGTACACACTGTTAGTACTGGGCTTTTCAGGATTAAGCACCTTCCCTAAAGGAAATATAGGGAGTGGAGGCAAAGCTCCATATATACCTTGGCTCTAGTCAGAGGTGGGTAGAATCATGGGCTCCAGCTAGAGAAAGAACCCCCAGTACTAACTGTAAGGATGACTGGCCATGTCTTAGGGCAAGTCTGGACATGTTGGCAAACAGATAATGCCCCAAATACAAGCTGAACCCTAACTGTGAAATCCACACTCACCAATTTAACTCCTGGTTTATGATGTTATGTCAAGCATTATTAATAAAATACGAAATGTAGAGAGCCAATTTGTTATAAATACATATTCAAAACCTGATCATCACAGACGACTTAAATGTAATGTTCAAAACTCAAACCCATAAACCAAATAATTCTATGTCACTACATTACGTTACAGCATACCTGTCGGTCGCAAAAACATCTTTGGACATCACAGAACTAAAAGTAACCTACAAACACAAGACCATACTTTCAGGTACAATTACATATAATACTACACATTCCAAGCTACACATGAAGTTCTGGTCCAACCGATTTTTTTTATTGTTAAAATCACGAAATAAGGTCAATTTGTCATTCAACTTACCACTCTGCTCGCCCAAGAAAACGAGTTTGAATTTCCTCAGTGGGTTCCCAAAATCTCCTGAAGACGACATTATGCCGCTTAAAAATTTACCTTGAACTAAAATTATAGTCCTTACGAAAAAACTAACGCAGAAGTCATTAAGTGTGAGTAAATTGTCAGCCACTCCTATTTATCACTTCTCCGCCACGTTACGACAATACGGGACGTGACGTCACTGACTACACTCTCCTTTTTACCAATAGATATTCCTGCAGGGCATCTACAGACACAGATAATACAGATATAGCTGCAACACCAAAGAACAATGTCACATATGTAATTGTGAATAATACACAGAGATGGCAGTCTGTACCAGTACTACTCTGCCATCTTTCACTCGAACGGTACATTCAGTACAAGTGACTAATTGTAAGCACAAACACACATTGAATGTTCAAGCAGTGTGGCAAAGTGAACACAACTTGATGCATTTATTTGATGTTAGAAATTATGGATACATGTTAGCATATCAAAACTATATTAAGGTGCTAATAAGGGTATCTGTCCAGAAGTAAATGTAGATAAAACTAAGTACTTGTTCATGTCTTGTCATGTGACTACTGTATATATTTATTACACAAATGCAGCTAATAAATTATTTGGAAATGTGACAGAAGTTCAGCTTTAGAAAATTATGGTAACAAATTTAAAAAAAAAATTGACAGTGGAACCACGGTTCCGGAGAATCTGACGTAAATACGCCTCTGTAATGTAATGAAATGTAATCATTCTTATATAAGATAAGTACTTGTGATATTCTAAAACGTTTTTACCAGCACAAAATTATATTCTACAAGCGATTCACAGCCCAGCTCTTTCCACAATAACGAAAGCGGATTGTTGACGGCAGTAATGTAACACAACAATGCCGAGTAAACAAATGATGCAACAGTTAGTTCCTTAGTTAACATAACAATGCACGCAGGAGTTCATATAAAAGCTGATCATTGTTGGCAGTCCATATTTACACATTGTGATATGGATCTTACACTTTTTTGCCGAATGACCCTTCCACATAGACATATTTACGCCAAAAACTGCAGCCATCAGGAAATCAATGCCAGGCTGAATTCAGATCTAAATGCAAAGAATGAAATATACAAACTACAGTTTCACCTGTTGTTTGGGTGTGAAACTTTGTCTCACCTTAAGAGAATACATGATTGAGAGTGATTAGGGGAATATTTGGGCCTCAGAGGAATGAAATGACAGGAGAGTGGAGAAAATTATAGAATGAGGAGCTCTTTAATTTGTGCTCTTCACCATTATTATTAGCATAATCAGACCAAGAAGAGTGAGGTGGGCAGGAAATGTAGTGTGTATGGAGAAGATGAGAAATGTGCACAAAATTTTAGTTGGTAAGCCTGGAGGGAAGAGACCACTTGATACACCTGGGCATAAATGGGAAGGTATTGAATTTATCTGGCTCAGGACAGGGACCACTGGAGTCATCTTATGAATATAGTAATGAACCTTTAGATTCTGTAAAAGGTGGAGAATTTCTTGACCAGTTAAGAATACTGTTAGCTTCTCAAGGATTCTCCTCTGTGGAATGAGTGAGCTAGTAGGTGTATCAGTCAATGATAACATGAAGATCAAACTTCATCATATTTTTGAAGAAATAGTTGATCATGCTACAATATAAATCTCGTTAATAAAACATTTTGCAGTATGGTGAATATTTAACAAAGCATAAAAGTAACAATAACTTACAGCATTGTGATACATGCAGCAACATGTTTAATTTGTGTCTGTAGTCAGTGACCACATAAGGAGGAGGAGAAAGAAAAAAGACTATAGTATACCTTTCTGCTATTGTATATTATATATCACACCCATTTTCACAAATATGCACGGCATATGTTCAAGAATATGAAACTGAGTTGTTCTAAATGCATTTCCACACAAGGTTAACACATGACCAATAAAGGTGACACTCATTCAAACTTATATTTTATTCACATAGGTTATATAACTTCATTCCTATTTTAGGCTGGATATGCTGTTTTGGATATCTGCAAATGATGGTTTGCCTTGACTTTTCTGATAACATTTAGAACAGGATATATTTGCTTCTTCCTCACACTCCCATAATTCACTTCTCAGCACAGTTATAATTACTTGTCACTGCCACCATTAAGGTAAACTAACTGAAGTACATAAATTAAACCAGTCAGTCTGGATGTATATTGTTTATCATCTTCAGCTGTCAACAAAAATATATTCAACACACAATGAAAGTAAAGTCTGTTTCAATTCTGTAACTATAATATGTACTAACCTCTAGACTGCGGCATTATACTTTACTACACATATATGTGCCTAAAGAATAATGTAAAAAGTAAAGTAAAGTCTGTCCCACTATACGCCATGTAGGCGTTTGGGGTGAGAGGAGGTATAGCTCCTCCCTTCCTTGACCTCGGCACTAGATAGGGGTGAGTGGTCAGCATCACGCCCCGGCCGGCTTTACCCCCGGGAAAGAACCCCGGTACCCATTGTAGAGGAGGCTGGGTGGGCCCCAGAGCCGGTCTGGACGCAGAGGCTAGAGGAAAAATCCTCTGCCCCCGTCGGGGATCGAACCCCGGCCGTCCAGCCCGTAGCTAGGCACTATACTGACTGAGCTATCCCGGCTCATAAAGAATAATGTACCTTGTTCATAAATAATCAAATGCCTGAAGGAATCATATTCAATTGCCATCATGACGTCCATTATATTCAGACTCCTAGTGGAACCGACAAACCTGCAACCTAACACATTAAAAATACAACTTACCCCAATAACAGCAGATGGTGGAATTATTCTACACACTGAACTCAGAAGTTTAAATTCACGTGTTGAAGTCCATGGTAGCTGTTCTGTCATTTGCTTGGGCTCTCAGAAAGAATCTCACTGTAGTTGTATTGTAAAAACAAACTTACACCTTTGCCTTCAAACAGTACAGGAAACAATAAAAGCATGAAATTTGCTATTGGCTCATCTCTCTGTGTACAGTCACTAGGCACTGGAAAGTGTTGTCTTCATTGTAAACAATACGAGGCTTTGAATTCATGATTTTAACTTGTATCTGGTCTGAGTCATGACTTGTATGATTACACTGTTGAGATGCTTCACTACTGCATATGTCCATAATGAGAGGGGTCAGTGTGGAAGGAACACCCACATGATCTGTAATCTGAAATATCCAGGCAAACACCTTTCAGTATTCTTCATTGCTAGTTTATTTCACAACTTAAAGATCTGCACAGTGGCTAAAAACATAAGTGCCAAATGGAAAATAACTTATATAAAGGTTTTTAAATTTTTGTGTTCCCAGCCAACTCAGCTTCTCACTGCAATGAGTATAACACTGGCTTCTGAGATGTTATGCCATGTATCTGGTAGATATTGACTGATGTTTCAGAGGAGTTTACCATCTCCATCATCAGGGTGATGGTTAATATCTACCAGACTATAAGGTACATCCCAGAAGACAGCCATCTTCATACTCATTGCTGTGGCTGGCAACACAAGAATTTAAAATCCTAAATAAGAAAAACCTTGATCATAAAGTTGTCAACAAAAGTAAATATACACTTTGATAAAATAATCTTTATTTAAAGTATATTTAAAATAGAAGGTAAATGTGTGTAAACCTCATTCCTTACAACCAATGAATATGAGAAGGGTTGTATGAAATATTGCAAAAGATTGCATTTATTATGAAGTCTTAATACATGTAAAATGGTAACAGACTGTTGAAATTTAGACTGACAAATTAACAGAAGAGTAAAACATAACAGTTCATGCTGCTACAAAAAATTATCATCTTTATTTTTGTCTTTCAAAGCTACTTACCTGATTCTCTGTAACAGGTTGTGCACCATTAATCCATGTATTGTTTACTTTACGGGTACGACGTGACCCATACTTTAGTAAATGTACAGTAGGGGAATTGGCAGGAACAACCTACACATATCAAGGGCAGTTACTTAAGTGAACTAATATAAATACAGATATGATTCTGGAATAAATGTGCATAAAATAAAATTAATACTGAAACTGATATTTAAGTAACTGAAAAAGAATTAGTGAACTGTTGGTAAATTTTCACTAGTTAATCATTTGTGTACTAATAACAGGTCTGATTCATGGGCACAGTTCTGCCCTACAGGTCGGATTCCTTGACTTTTTCCAGGTAGCTTTACAGATTTGAACATAGAAAAGGACTCCAAGGACACAAACTGTGCCTTTTAAAGAAAAGTAGAGGGTAGTAGGAGTTATACTAAATTCTAGAATATATGGATTGGTTATATATGTTTAGTTTTTTGCATTTGAATAGACATATGAACTGACATTCTTAAAACATGTTTAAATTATGTAAAATTTGAGGTTTTCACAACGGTGAGTATGAAGATTTCTGTCTTCTGGGTTGTTGCACTGTGTAGTCTGGTCAATGTTAACCAACGTTTCAGAGGTCATACTGCGTCCGTCATCAGGGCGATGAACATCGACCAGACTACACAGCGCAACAACCCAGAAGACAGAAATCTTCATGTTTAAATTACTGTTAGAGAATAGGATGCACAAATACCACAATTATATTAGGCACTTTCCTTGCAAGTAGGGCATTACTAGCAGTGTTACAGAAACTGCTATTTGTGCTTTACCAAAGTTTGAGAAATTGAAACGCAGTAAACTTGCTTCATAAAGTGGGGTTTTGTATTTGTTCAGTCAGATATTGAATTTATCACAGTTGTTTGAATGTCTTTTGCAACCAAGCATCTTACAGTAAAACAGATTAAATGTCTGTTCATCCCTTGTCATATACTTTACCAAATAGCATGGAATGTTCTAGTAACACATGGACTTCAGACTTGCCTGCATCACAGTGTGAACAAGACGAGGTGTTTCAGGTGCTTCAACTCTGTTTCCAATTATCACTTCTGCCATTTTTTTATCTGCATTTTGTTTTATCAGCTGCCTGAAAAAATAAATAATTTTGCAATGGTCTTAAACCAGCCTTTGGAATACAGTCATTTCTGATTATCTGGCTATTTTGGTGAACCTTGCCTCATAAAACTAATTGAGTCCTTTGAACATCCCTGTGAAATACTGAAAATGGCACAAAATCAAAGGTTTAAAACCACTACACATTCTTTGTAGACACATGGGTTTGCCACTATCATCACTCAGCTGTTCACAACAGCTGATGTATGATACAATGATTAATAACCAATCATCCATAATGTTACATCATCTGCACAAGATATATGCCATAAGGAAGTTTGATATACTGGAAAAACAGGAAGATACCTTGTAAGTGTACATGTAACTATTTGACGTGCTTGTTGTGGTGCGTCCTGTCACTGCCGCAGAATATTGAAGTGACACTTGTTCACTTATCTTTAAAAATAAAATTAAAATGAAAAGCAAAACGCCAACTAGATCTGTAAATGTGTGTTTTATATATTATGAGTTGAAAATTTAATTACAACAATTTTTAATATTAGCCACTACATCTTGGAACCTGTTTTCTGAGATCAGAAAGTAATATTCTGTAAGTTATTGGGAAAACACTGTTAAGTATCACAAATTCTACTAAAGCTATTGCTTCTTAATTTTAATATCAGTTGACAGTCAAAATGACATGTCTTTCAATAAGAAGCACACAAGCAGAAATATGTTTATGATATATTTGTAGCATACATCTATGATTAGAACTGATTATTATGTCCGCTGTTAATGATATACTGATATTTGTATCCACAGACAGACTCTGCAACTCTGTCAGGTATATGTACATACATTACAATTACACTGGATAATAAACAGTTGAATGCATGGTAGCAGACTGGCATATACAATTACAATAATAGCCTGTGAAATGAAACCGAGTAATACAAACTGCCACACAAGCATAAACACCATCACTTACAAAAATGAATGCAAGAAATATAAAATTATTAGGTAAGGTAACAAAGGCAATTTAAGGCAGAGAGAGAGCACTTACTTTGCCTTCTTTTTGAGAATCTCCTGAGCATCTGGATAGTATGCAATGGCTTCATTCAGATCTGTTTTACTGAGCACAAATAAATTTGAAAATCCCCGAGACCTGAAAATATCAAAAAGGAAGACAATCCAAGATCATACTACTGTAATAAAGTGAGTCATAAAAACTTGGCCATGGTGATGAATTGTGCTGTAATGTATCTATTAAAAAGTTGTTTTTTCACACCATTTAAATAAAACTGGTGAAATGATTGTATATTTTAATCTTTACATTTTTTGGCAGGAGATGGGGGTGAACTGGATGCAAGAAGTATCTCTGAATTTAATCTGCTTTTAATTTCATCATGAATGTTGTTTTGATGTGTTACTTATTTCCAAATATTTTAACTTAGTCGTATTTTTGAAGAACATAAACATTGCCGTTGAACAAATAATTGAACACTAAATTATTTTTCTGTAAAATTCATATTATTGGGCTCATAACAGAAACTAGAGTCAAATCTAAAGTAGTATTGTGCTTTTATATGCTGAGTTACGGAAGAAGGTTTAACTCACCTAACAGTGGCAGTTCTCCGGTTGCAACCTGCTATAGCCAAAAGGCTTATCTCTCCAAACACAGAACCCTCCGTGAGCGTCGCAAGAACCTCAGATTCCTTCTCTCCTCCCATCACTTGGACTTGCCCTGTTTTTACAATGTACATCTCCTTTCCGACTTCACCCTTGAAGCAAAACAACAATTTATCCTTTATTTTTATAAGTGGCGCCTCATGATGTCAACCTGGCTGTGTCACAGTAGCACCTGCTAAACCATTAAACCCTGGAGTTGAGTTGAAATCCATCTGGCAGCCTCTAGTACAGGGGTTTAAATCTCTATTTTTATATGATGAAGGTTAAACAGAGAATTTATCCTATCAATCAGCAAATGAATTACGCAAAACAGAATTATTAATGTGTATCTAGCACATGACTGCTAAACTTGGCTACCCCTCTTGCTAGTGAGGGATAGACTGTTCATTTAAACAAAAAGAATAACATATAGTTAGTAAGTTGTGAATAGTTTCCTGATTCTAGGTGCCAAAGAAAGGCTTCATCTTTTCTGCAGACTCTCCATACCAAATTGCTTGCTAGATCTGGTTATGGGCACAATTGCTAATCTAACCCAAAAGCAAGTTCAAAATATGTGCTAACTTTGCGACAGATGAAGTCCCCAGGTAGAAATATTACTGGGCGCAGCTTGAGTACAAGTTCCCGCAGTAGGGCCTCATCACAGTCATGAAACAGCTGCACCTTACTTAGTGTCTGGATGTGCACATTGATAGCAATGTCTGTCTTCATTTTATGTGGTAGTGTGTCCATAATGCTACTCTCATCTGCAACCAATAATGCTTCATTATATGGGATTCAAAGACTCTACAGTAGCTGTTGAGGTGAGGTGACATGCTTTCTCTGGGACCTCTCTCCTTTATTTCCATCACTGACATTCAAGACACACAAATGCTGAATAAGCTCTCTTACAGATGTATTTGCTAGTCCTGTTAAAATTATTATTTAAATTTATAAATTATTATATTATAATCTCAATATGATAAATAACATACTTATGAGATTAAATATCATATACTTTGCTTCAAAACTAACAAACATCTTTACATAATTATATACATCATACATCTTTATTACATTCTGTGGATTCATAAGTTAGTCAAATTCCAACAGGATGCAGAATAAGCCATAATAATAACATACAAATGATATGTACTACAAGTACAATATTTAAAAATTCAGTTCTTACCTCAAAGAAAACACAACCACCTACATTAGAAAGATCAGGTGGTTAAAGCTGTTTCAGAAAATAATTACTATTTATTCTGAGAATCATAAGAAATGCTAAATATACTCTGTGACAAAGATGAATGGCAAAGGAAATTGGAAATAAGGGGGAAAAACAAGTAAACACTTTACTACAAAGAGCTATGAATTTTCTAGTGACAGGCCTGTCCACATACCTTAAGGAATGTTCTCATCTTTCACATCATCACAGTAAGAGATAAGTAAAATAACACTCACCGAGAGTGTGCTGCTGTTCCCATGTGAATGTGAACCACAATTTGACCCGTTCCTGCAGATGATGAGGCAGATTGAGGCACCTCATGTACTCTAATGCTTCATCTACCAACTTCTTGTACTCAGTTTGTGACCGTGTTGCTGTGACGACTATATCTCGCATCTATTACATTTAATACATAGCATGTTTAAACATACTTATGCAACAGGTGTTACATATTGTTCTGCTGTATTTGTTTCTCATTTGTCTCCTCTTGTTATGATAAAGATCCAACAATGACTACAACTGGAATAATGGCTCAATGTAATTCTTAAGAGACTGGATGTATTATCAAATTACTACACAAATAAAATAACTTCCTAGACTTAAATAAATTGTATTCACTATCAATTTAATACAATTTTCTGGTAATATTCTCCCAATTTCTATGACTTGGTTGACACTCATATGCTTTGAAAAGAGTGTATTATTTGGTGAAGCATATGTTGAATTCTGTCAATGGAGCTCCTTGTGTGTTGTCCATGCAACTGAATATAAATGAGCTATCGAGTATTAATGCATTTCTTTATTCCAATATGCTAAAAGCTATTCTGTGTTGTTATGTTTTTATTTTTAATGCCTTCCTACAAAACTTATTGTGAAACTTTGGACAAGAGGATATTGAGTGGCAAGTAGATATAAGTTGTACTTTTGTAGATCTAGGTGTTCCTAAACTGATTTCTAACTATTTTGCTTCTAAAAATATTACCGTTAATACTAGTTCCTATAGTATCCATTATTTTTGGCCATACCTGACCAATTAGGATCGCAAAAACAAAAACTCCCATCAGCCAACTGCAAGTCATGAAAAGACTTTCTTCTTCCGTTTCTGGTTTTGGATTTTTTCCTATTGATGTAGCTGTTTTTGTTGCAAAGTAAAAACACCTAATGTACCTGAAACATTATTAAAAATTATCAGATTAATATTCAATTACATAGACTATCTTCATTAGGAGAAAACAGGCATAATAAAACAGGCACTGACCAGAATTAGCCTTGGATTACATCTCTTGACATATTCTTAGGTTTCTTATGTACATAAGTGCACACACAGTGAAATCACAGATAAAAAAACAGTCAATCAACATAAACCAATAAGTTTCATAGACAACACTTCTTAACTTACGGACTGCCTTTACCATTGAAGACCCAGCTGTTGGTGCCAAGGCCTTTCCAAGATGAGAAAGCATAATATGCACAGGCATTGAGATGTATGAGATACAGCATGTATGTGAGTGTGCGGGCCATTCTTACCACATATGGGGAAGACACCATATTGTCCAGCCGGTCAAAGAATTCCCAAAATGTCTGAACCTGGAAGAGAGAAATTCATTGTAGAATGAGATAAGTGTCAATGGAATTATTTCAAACTTCAGGTCTCAGACTTGAGGTGAGAAATTTTGGATTTCATTGATCCCCCTGTTTGTGAAAATCTTATCTCAATTTAGTTCAAGATTTTCTGTGGTAAGTACAATGACAGTGCTTTGATCATCATCTTCAGAGACATATTAGTCCAATTTTGGTTTAGGAATAAATTCTTGAAATTCCATTGTAAGACACAACTAACTTCATGGAGACCAGTTCTTCTTGACTTCCTCTGATGATTAAGAAATCCTCTGCTTTTCATTATTATAATAATAATAATTTATTTACATTCCATGGATCCATAAGACAGTCAGATGACAATAGGATGTGGAAAAAGTCATAATAATAAAAATAATAATACAATACATATTATAAAGTAAATTCGTACTATTATATAAATTTCACATAATACAAAACAAAGTATTCACCTAGAGAAATGATAAGCTACAAATAGATCTACTCATTATACACAAGAAAAATTTATCACTTATTTGTAACCAACATAAATTCATTGACAGAGTAAAAGGACTGTGTAATTAAGTATCTGTTTAATGCTACCTTAAATTGCTCCATCTTATTTACAAGACTTGTGAGATTTGATGGTAGACTGTTGAAAATTTTGATTCTTCTTCTGAAAGCATGAGAGGTTGGCAATTGGTCTATCTGAAGTTTCATTACCATGTTCACAAGAATTTACCACTGGTTATTGTCCTGTCCCAGATGAATCCAGTCCATGCCACTTTTTCATTTTAATACTATCACCAAATCTGTGCTTGTCTTCCCTTCAGGATTTCTGGCTAAAATCTTATATGCACTAACCATCTGTCCCGTATGGGCTACATGCCCTTTCCATAAAGGAATAAATTCCCTCCAAGCCAAATTTATCAGCTCTTTGACTTGATCAACTTAATAAAATCTAGAACAGTACAAATTATAAGGTTCCTCATTATGCAGTTTCCTCCAGCTTCCTATCACTTCTTCTCTTTTAGGTACAAATATTTTCCTTAGGATCCTATTCTTTAAAACCACAAGTTATGCAATTAGTCAGCAATGTATTCACTAATTTTCAATTTGACTTCCCTTCTGAAAGGATGAGTATTTCAGCCTCAGTATCATGAATAACTTCAAATACATATGTAACACAATATCACTAACACAACTTTATGTTTGTGAACATGTGAAACATATTCACTACTGAGCAGAATTCATGTAACACAACCCTTTGCTGTAACACATGTAATCACATAAAACATCACCTCTGTTTTCCTATTAACTGTAATCTTTTAAAATATTCCAGACAATTTATGGTACCACAAATTTAAATTTGGCCATGCACATTATCGGTGAGTGTCTAAATTAAGTTAAATGAAGTTACCAGAAATCACAGATGGTATTTCATTTGTACAGAATCTTTTGTCAATTCTCTCAGCAACCTCATAGATAGACACAAACACAGGTAAGGAAGATATACAAAACACATTACAGATTCTGTTCTGTATTTGTATAGGTATCTCAGCATATAGTTACAGTCATATTATCATTAACTATGTGTTATTTTTGGAAAACATACAAATATAGTCATCTATTTATACACAAATCTTACTTTTAAGAGCCTTGGGATCCTCAACATGAGATATTCTGTACCAAAGATGAGATATAACAGATCCAGAGGCAGCAGTGACAGAACATCCATCTATATATGAAAAGAAAGAGATTGTTAATTTGTAACTGTTTTTCATTCTATAACTTAAAACAGATGATATTAACATCAATGTCTAACACTTCAAATAAAAACACAATCCATATAGACACCACCAAAGTATGCATATTTTAAGTCAATTTTATTTGTGTAGTTAACATTGAAATAAGTCACAGATACACACACATATTTAAAACAGACTCAATGTGTGGTGAAGTGTTTCTAATAAACATTAACAAGTGCCAGTTTGCCTTGCTTTATTTTTTCTCATCTAGACATTCCCTAATGCAGTTGGGCTGAAAAATACTAAGCAGTATGTACCCACCTATTCAACATGGTGTAACTGACATGTCTGGTTTACATTCAGAGAAAATTTATTAACTTATGTTTGCAGATTTTTGCATATAAGGTGGACTAGTCTTACCTTGAACTGCCATTTTTGTATGTAATTTCTTCTGGTGAGGCTCAGGTCTGCAACCCAGAAACCTTCTTCCAAGTACTTGAGCCTGGGTTTTATGAATGCCACATCCAAAAAATAGATGGCATCAGCAGAGTAATCAAGTGCCAGCCAGATGGGTGTATTTTCAGTCGTTTGGTAAGGAAAGGTGTTGCGTAGTGGGATTACCCAACAGTTGTACATGTAGCACAGCATCACAATAAACAACCATGAGATGTATCCATATCCTGAAATATAAGTACACTGTAGTTGTACTGTAGTACATGATTAGAGCTTACAGCAGTTCTGCTGTAGCACAGACTCACAATAAAACAACCAAGACTGGCATTTATTTTCAGATCAGTCTCCATTATACTTTTGTGAAAATCTATTTTATTGGAAATTTTAACTAAATTTACACCTCTTTCATTTTTATTTAAATAAACTGTTTTATTCTTATATTTTCATTCTTATGCTAAACTGCATAAAGTGCTACAGATTTTATTTAACCTAGGAATGTAATCTGCTTCATGCCAACTCAAGCAGATGAGGAGGGGGACATCTTTGAACCCTGACGTGGACTAGCAATGGAACAATGCAAAACTGTTTGTGATATATACAGATGTTGTTACTGTGTTAGAAACTGATTTCTGACAGGTGCTTTTAATATTGCACATAAAACATGACTAAAAGTATTTTAAAACATAATTCTTGATTCAGGGATTGGTCTGTAAGAGTTCTCCTTTGTCTTTCTTGGGTTAATGTCAATGACGAAATTTGTTGGATATTTGGATTGGATTTAGATTAGATTGGACTGGATTAGATAGTTGGATTAAATTTTCCTCTTTGTTGAATAAACTGATGTAAATATTTAATGAAATCAACATTACATGGTTATACAGATAATTTGTTATAGAAATTAGTTGCACATGGTTTCCAATTAAGGTTAATTATTAATAAATGTTGCTTGCTAATTAATTATCTTCTTCTACATGTGTCAGATAAAAGGAACAAATAGATATGACTCTAACCTTGGTTTCAGAAATCCTGCTTGCCTTATGTTGGAGCATTATCATGCAGAAATTATCAAAAGTATTATTATATTTACCTTTTAAAGAATACATGCAGACTGGTGCCAAAATTCAAGTCTAATACCTCTAATCATCATTAATAATTTAACTGATATAATTAAAAATACTCTATTTCCTTTTTAACTATTAGTCTTATTTATACATAGATTATATGGAAATGTTTAAGTAATGCAGCAATAAATTAGCTTTGTAAATAGTGCAAAAGGATGACCCATGACTTACTCTGTGGATCCAAGGCATGGTTGCAGTGGATGGACTTAATGTGCCCCCAGAAAGTCCTGCAGCTGGCTACAGGAGCACAAGTGGAGGAGTCAGCAGATTCACAATTTGTGAGCTGCAGTCTTCTGAACAGAGGTGGGGGTCGCAGATCATTCCCATCTTCTATGTAGTGTAAGGAATATAGAACATCAGTACCAAGTACGATTACTTTAACCAGAACTGCAAAATTTTGTCTCCTCATGCACAAATTAGTTATTCACTACTGGTCAATATCTTATTTATGTCAACATTGAAAATTCTGTGAAATGGTTAACGATCAATCATACATATCTCCAAATTACACACGTGTTCACTGACACGTGACTTGAGAGGAAATGAAAGAAACTTGGTGAAGAGCAATAACGATTCTTTGTCTTGTGACCAGTTCTGACCTGGGTCACTGCTTATGGTGGAAGGAGTAGGCGGCAGCTCAATGCGACGGCGGATTCTCTGCGCACGCTCAGTAAATGCACGCACCAAGTGCCGAATTCTCTGATGGATGAACAGCTGACCATCAGCATGAAGACTGAGAGAACATGAAATTATTAGACATAGATGCACTGACTGATTAACAGCCCCAAGAATATACAAGAATGCCACATATTTATGACTTAAAACTGACAACACAATATCTTTTACATCATCCTATTTTCCTTATTTGGGTTTGAAGCCAGTCAGATGCAGTGGATGCATTTACACACGTCTTCATTGTAATTTACCTGTAATGTCTATCATGTACCTGTAATTGGTCTTGGTTAACAGATGTAGAGAGCTGTATATTTTCAACTAGCAAAGTAGATAAATAAAATGTTATTTTGTCTGGTATATACAAGCAGAATCTGAGTAATGTATACTTCCATAACATTATACTAACAGCTTCTGAAATGAAACTTCACACTTACATGGAGCTGTTTTCATCGCTACTGCTCCGGTAGATGTTAGTGCTGATGGTGGACTGTCTGTCTGCATTGCCTTGCTCCAAGTCATCCAGAGACCTCACAGATAGGAGCATTGGGACACCTGAAACTGTCATCTTACGTGACTGAAGGCCAGGGATATCTGCACCAACAATGCAAGCAGATACACACACAAGCTGTACAGATTCTCACTACAAGTTCAAGATAGTTTACACAAAAGCACGAACAACTTCAATAAAATTCACATAACTTAAACATTCTCCTTTAGATCTATTTTAATCTTTTATCTCTGTCTCCGTATTTAAACTGATACATTTAAAAGAGGAGAGATTACAGGTTCCCACAGTGGTAAGTACAAAGATGGTTGTCTTCTGGTTATTACACTATGTAGTCTGGTAGAAGTTTACTAAAGTTTCAGAGGCGACTACAGTCTCCATCATCAGAGTGATGAGTGCCCTGATTCCCCTAATGATGGGGGCAGAATGCACCTTGGAAATGTCAGTAAACTTGAACCAGACTATATGGTTTAAAGAGGTTTCCACACAAAAATTTTGTATACATTTCTTGCCTTTCCAATCTGATCTACATGTCCTGACCATCATCATCTCCTTAAATTAATTACAATAACAACAACGGAAGCAGCAGTGTTACTTCTTCCACTCACCGCTCAGTAAATCCCTCTTTATCAAATGATTGTCCTTGTTATTTTTATAATATTTTCAATTTATGCTCATGTAACAGAATAAGTGGTGTCACATAACTTAATACTTACTGAATTAAAAACAGAAAACAGTGGCAGATCTTGTATAAGTATGTCATATTTATATAAATTTCATGGTGAACTTAATCTTGATCTCTTGCTTCTGTATGTGAATTTAAATGTGTTCTCACACATTTAAATTCTGTCACAATTACGTAACATTTTTAGAAACACATAATACTGAATGTTACTTATATGCTGTAAAATATCACCATATTTTTATTTCAAAATTCCAGAAGGAGAAATATATACATCCACCCATCTCTCCATTCATCTCCGACCCATCGACCTACCTGTGGAGTGCAGCGGTTGCCCCGGTTCCTGCAAGTCGCTGAGCTGAGATTCATTGCACCAGGAGCTAGCCGGTGACTGTGTATTGGATTTGATGAGGCTGTCCAGCTCAAGGCGCTCTGGGTACACCATCCGCTGTAAAAACAGCCTATTTACGCTACGTAACGAACTCTCACTCCGCGAAAGAAGTAGGCAAAGTGCATGTCCCTTGTGTTTCATTGCAGAATCATAATACGGGACGTTCGAAAAGTCACTGTGCATTTAACAACGATATGCCAGTTTTGCCATCACACTGCCATTTACAGTGAGTGATGCCAGGTCGTATATTACTACATAACCGCAAATGCACAGTGACTTTTCGAACGCGCTGTATAATTTGGTATGATTATGGATGATACAGACCTTACCATTTACTGCATCACTGCGGTGTGCAAAGTTAATATGAAATGATCTTCATTCTACTTCACACTTGAAAAAAAAATGTTAAAGGGTACTTCAAATTAGTCATTAGGCCCACACAGAATGGCAGACCACGTGATCGATATGTCGAAAAATTAAAATTAGAGGTCACGACTGGAAGTAAGAACTATCAGTACGAAGTTTAATCGAACTTCGTTCTTGGATACTTACTCTGCAATAAGAAACGGATCCATATTCAGATAAAAGAGAAAGTACCTAAATCTTGTTTCCGTTGCGTGCGCTCTTAAACACCAACTGGTCAACTGATCGTTCCGGAGAAGTTGACCTACTACTCAGTAGTGTATTTAAAATTTAATTCGTACCGGGGGAGGGTGGTTTCTTCTTCTTGTAGAAAGAGATAACAAGTGCCTCGTGACTTAGTGCAAGCGTGAACAACAGCAATTCATGTGGCCTGATTATTATAGCAGTTAAAGCACGTCATAACCTCGCAGACTGAAGTGAAGTTGGTACACACATCACGCAGTACGTTGTGTCAGTGACAATACTTGTCCTGTTTTTCTTTTTCCTGAGAACTGGATTATAATGAACTAGTTTTATAAAGTATGCGGTCGAGAACTGTCATCAATAAGTATGTGAGGGCTCACGCAGGACACGGTGTTGCTGTTACAAATAACGACATCGAACAGGTGAAAGAAGGAAGCAAATTTCATGGAGGCCGTTGCTTAAGAATTATTACCACATTATTACCACATACTCAGACTCTCTTTAGTCACGTAAAAGAAATAAATATGAGCGGGCTAATTAAAAATCAACAAGAGTCTTTAAATTTTAACGATTTTTGATTCCAAATGCATAAAATCTTCAAGAATTTGAGAAAGAACATTTGTATAATTTCGAATAGAATCTGTACTCGGTAGAATACAAAAAAAAAATTCATCACATGCTTTCGATAAAATGTATTTTTACTCTACCTAAACCTCATATCTCAAAGTTTGTACCTGTTTCCGACAGTAAGTTTGTAGTATTTATAATAAATTACTATGAATATAAACAACACTACGGCCCCCGAGTGGATAAGAAAGGCTGAACGTGGATCCAGGTCTAAAGAGGCTGGAATCCTTGGTTAAGAATTATTTGAGTACTGAATAATTCTCTGTGACAACTGTTCAGTTTGGTTACCATTTCAAAGTTACATAACATATTTCTTTCTGAGGGACGAATTCCTGTCTACACGCCTGCTATACCTGCTGAGATGACACAGACTTACTATTTTAGACTAAATCACTTACTCATTTACCAACACACCTGACACCTGAAAATGGCTGTCTTCTGAAATGTTGCGCAGCGCAGGCTTGTAGATATTAACTGACGTTTCAGAGGTGCTTGCTGTCTCTATCGGCGATAATGATGAAGACAGTAAGCACCTCTGAAACGTCAGTCAATATCCCAAAAGAAGGTCATCTTCATACCCGTCGCCGTGAGAATCTGATAACTCACTTTCTTATTTTGGAATTGTAAAATTAATCTCCTGAATGACAAAATCCTCCACTCGACTAGTTCAAGCTAGATGAGTCCAATCCGCACACCACTATCAATTTCTGTGAGATTCAATATAACATTATCCGCCCATCATATTCACTTGTAATTCTTGAGCAGGGATCACAATTTATGGGCAGTCTTCTCGACACTATAGAAGCCGTCACCAAACTGCATGTTTCAATGCCACTGAAGGACTTCACCCACTCCCCCCTTTTTCGCGCGTCTCTAAGTCCACAGTACCAGCTCTGCTACACTGCGACTTCTAAGCTGTCGTCACTCACCTAGACTCCACAGTTCGTACTACGAAGCTAAACGATTTCGCTGTGACCTTGAAGCATGAAATCTGATGACGGACACGACAGCACCGATAAGAGATGGTAAAACTCAATCCTTGAAACACAACGCACACTGAAAATATTTTAATATGCCACGGTGGTCTAGCGGTTAGAACGCTGGCCTTGTAATCCTGGGGTCTCGGGTTCGATTCCCGGCGGTGCACGAATTTATAACTTGTGTTGGGTAAGGCCGTGGTCTAGGCAACACGGAGATTTCCTCCGGGGGCTTCCCCGGTTTCTCCGTGGCATCCCAACAATTACTCCATTCACACACAGAAGAAGGCAATGGCAAACCACTTGTGGATCATCTGCCAAGAACGTATATGAACAGGTCCCAGTCCGAGAAAAGGATGGAAGGATCCTGTTCATATGGACCTGTCGTCAGACAGAACACTAAATAAAAATAATTTCAATGTCAAGAATTATCCTCAAAGTTGCTTATCTACGCAATAGATGACAGTGCCCCTTGCAAAGACCAAGTATCTTGCAACCGTAGAAAATACAATAATAATCGACAGTAACCCGAAAATTAACTGTTAACACCTATGTTCCCTCACTGTGGAAGGCAGAATTGTTGCAGGAACGATTTGTATCATTCTGATATAATATCTAAACTTCATTACCATGGTAGTCGATTTAGTTGCCATTCTCAATGACGTAAACGCACGAAGTACAGTGGCAACGACACAGAGTAACAGTCACAAACATAACTGAAGCACAAGTCTCTACTGCACTCAACTACCTTCCCTTGAGTATCAGAATTTTGACATGCACGATTTCACTTAATCAAGCTAATGGCCCAGAAAGGAACAGGGTGTAACCCACCTGCATTCCTCACGTGTAGTTCAAAATAGTTACACGTAATTCCATAAATCTGATCGAATTATCAAGAGATACGAAAACATCTTAAGAACAGAGGATGTGCTTCCACGTACGATTACCTTTTTAATTAAACGTATTCTATCCATTGCGTGCTCAGGGTTTCTTGTTGAAACACACCATAGCCTGGTTGCGGACACTCGAGGCGCTCCGTTACTATGACAACAGCATCGGCGCACGATGACGACTCTCCCGATCGATCAATGTAGTACATATCACATGTCTTCACACAGACATGGACCGTACTAATACATGAATTCGAAAGAGAGTTGGCTATTGGTAGAAGCCACGAGACTACAACCAATTAATCAGTTCTTGTTCATTGAGTTACTCTAAGACGCTACATAAACTAACTTCATGGAGTATATATAATCTTTGTTGAGGAGCTAATAATGATTCAGATAGTAAAGACATATCCTGCCTTTTATGGTACACGAAAGTCTACTATCGCGTACTTAAGAGACCGCCTATGATCACTGTCATGAGATAGATGAGTCCAGTCTACCCCTTAAGATCGATTTATTTACAACAGTAAATGTGAACTATGGTAAGCAAAACTACTTTAGACTAGAAATATAAGCACAAGCATAGTGAATCACTCAGTTTCGTAAAATTACAATTTCGATATATATATCCCTGGAAGTTCGTTAAAGAACGTCAGATTTTACACAGAAAATTCCTGGCTGACAACTTTTTAGTGGTTCATCTTCATTGGATATAAAGAACACGTATTTACGGTATTTTTATCGTGTGAAACCATTTTCACAGAAAATAATTCCAACCCCCTTTGCAGTACAGAATCCAGTTATCTGTTTCTGCATACTCACCCGTCTCCACGCGATGGGCTCGCTGCTGATGGGCAGTGATGGTGCCGTATCTTCTACGCCCATCTTGACTCTAACATCGCACTGCGTGTCCACCGTTCACAATGGCACATTGTCCCACCTGGGAGAGCAAAATTATAATCTTAATGGCCTTCACTCGCTGCACACCCACTACCTGAATACAAAATAACGTTAATTACCTACTGTCTTATTAATGTTCAACAAATTAATGTCATAATGCGTTTGCGTAACTGTAGTCAACCGACGGGACATGTGACGAACAAACAGTACATAACACAAGTGAACATTTTCTGCCAAATGGGTGTGCAGATGAAAAAGCTCTGAACGTTTGTGAAAATGGTCTGACATCATGCTATCGGGGTTCTAGGAGGACTCCACGAAGCAGAATGTTGTTGAGAATAAAAGAGTCAAGAAACTCTCCGCATTTTATAGTTTAAGGAACCTAAATATGCGGAATACGTAACAGTCGTTGTTCCTTTTTCAGTTTTTAAAAAAAGTTAAAATATTCGGGTGTCTGCATGACGCATTTTACCTTTCTGAAGAAGAGACCTTAGGTTTAAATAAAATGAAATTTGTAAGCAATGCACTTCTTAAATTACTATTTCTCTCACTCATGTTTTAAACATCGTGACTTTTATATTAAAAATATTGATTTACCTTTTAAAAGATTAGGCCGAAGAACCAAAACGTTTTTCATTTCCGTTTTTATCTCTGACTTAATTATCACTGAAACATACATTCAGTTCAGTTCGTCGCTGTGAGGTTCATGCCCCCCCCCTCAGTTTGTCGACTCATTGTCAACACTTCTTATTACTAGCACGTCGACGCTGTGAAAGGCTTGCGAATGACACCAGTCATAAAAAGGCAATGCACTGTCAGGGTCATCTGAAAATAAGGTAAGAACACAGAGTGAGGGTGAGATTTGAGGTTCTCGCCGTATTGGTATTGCGGTGGTGTAGATGTCGACGTCTTCCTCGTGGGTTGTGGCGCGACGTAAACTTGTAGGCAGACACCAATGTTTCACGGATGAAGCTACAGACGTTTCTTCGAAATGCTGGTGTCTACCTACAGTTCCAGAGGGTGCCACAACTCAGAGGAACAACGCCGACACAGACTGAGAGTGTCAAAAAAGTTCTTTCGTTGAATTACAACGTAACGAAGGCATCAACTTGCGAACTGCACCCAGTCCGCAATAAAGGTTCTGTGAGTTTTATTGAGCAAAGCAAAGATAAAGATAAAGATACAGTACAGTCAGCGCGTTCCAAACAACCCGTTAAAATCCACAGGCCCTGTACAACGTATCATAACATGATCAGGGGTTATTAGGCCTCCTAACAACCTCTTATCGGCTGTACACATCGGCATCTTTGAAGACGAAGATCTTAGAGCAAGGAAAATACAACGCTTCCCGTGAGATTTCAGGTTCCGACGGCGACGAGTATAAAGTTGCCGTCTTCTGTGATACTGCACCGTGTAGTTTGGTAGATACTGACCGACGTTTCAGAGGAGTTTACTATCACCTTCGTCAGGACAATAATGGTGGAATGGCAGTTAGTTCCCCCGAAATGCCGGTCAGCATCAACCAGATTATATTGTGTAATATCCCAAAAGACAGCCATCTCCTTACAATAAACGCTCTTCATTCAGAAAGAGCACTTGGTCAGTCCTGTTTGAGGAAATGATAGTGGTTTCCTCTAAGAATCATGAGAACCCCACAAATACATTCCGTAAACAAAATGCAGCTGTTTGTTGTTAAAACAGGTAGCACACACAGTTATCACTGGCATTTAAAACGTTAAATATATTCTCATCTAAAAAAGAAAAATTGAAGTGCGAAATTGTGAAATGGAAACAGAAACAGCGCTATTATATACAAGGACTTGAAGATTTTTTTGTGACGGGTCTACATAAAGCTTTTATTACGCAATACAGACACGGAAATCGTGTGACATATATTAGTTTCATGACTGGCGTTGTAACAGGGGACAGGAAATTTGAGGGTGACACAAGCAGGACCGTCAGTGGCCCTAGGCTTTTCATAGAAACATATTATTACCACATTAAATACACAAAGAACAGCAGAATGCGCTATTGACGAGAAAAATGATTCTGTACTTGCGATGTATGTTCAGTGAGTTTATTAACTATAAGTTTTATATTATAATTAATCTTTATCTTGTTAGGTTTTTCCAATGTCATATAACGAACCATAAGTAAATTAACATTTCTTTGAATTTATCACAAAAGACTTAATTCATATCATCTTATCTAGGGAATTTCCTTGGCCTAGAGATTCTATAAAGCTGCTGCAGGTGTGTAACTTCACTTTCTTAATGAAGTCGATAGTATTAGGCACCACTCATCAATAATTCAACACACAATATCTCGACGTCATGCCGACTCGGATGAAATAAAATGCACGATTTTTATTGCACTCAGAACCATCACCACGGAAGGGCGTCCTTCTTAAGAAGCTAACGATCGCTCAGCTGATCAAGGAATCGGAAGGTCCAGTGCCGAGCTCACCACAGCCTGCCACAGGTTTCTACACCGAGCCGGACGAATGCAGCTCACGCCATTATTTCGTACTTAACAACAATTTTAAATATTTCCCTCCCATCTATGATCAGGTATCCCAAATAGTCTTGGTCCATTTCTCGTCTCTCCCATGCATGCTACATGCCCCTTACATTTTATACTCCTTTATTTGATCGTGCTAATAACACAGCGAAGCTTTTCATTATACAGTTTTATTGTATAATACTTAGAACTATGAAAATCAACAAACAAAGGTCTTCTGACAACGCATTAAAATTATAGTTATGACTAAAACAAATTCGGATACATACAATTAAAAAACTGTGACCCCACTAATGTTCCATAAACTGCGAAACTTGGGCAGATGATTCCACAAAAATGTTATCAACGGGATATGAAGTGTCTTGAAAATTATTTTATTGCCTAAACCCTTATCTATTTAGAACAGGTAGGAGACACTCTTGATATTACTCGTTATCGGATAATGAGATCTTAAGAAGTTAAATAAAGATAAAAAAGGCTACTTGTATAAGTGCAGCGGATACCAGATACTCAGTATCTGCATCAAGATGTGGACTGCGACATCATTAATCGTTTTGCTAGCATGGGCAGCGGCTCCCAATTCGGCAAAACTGCTTCGATCGCCTTATCATTTGAGAAGCTCCAATGTCAACCGGAATTCTGTCCCCGTTGAAGGTGACGTAGGCTCCAGACTGCTCCTCACGCCATACATCGAGGCTGGCGAAATAGAGGAAGCCCGCGAACTGTCCACTGTCAAAGGCGGGCACATCCCTGAAGACATTCGCAGTCATTCTGGCTTCTTCACTGTGAACAAGGAATACAACTCCAATCTCTTCTTCTGGTTTTTCCCGGCTGAGGTAAGTAATTCTGTCCACGCCAAGATCATGACAGCTTATTTTCAAAATACTTTCAAAAAATGTTTCCCACAAACACAATTTTAAATCAATAAATGAAATTCCCTTAATTTAATTATTTTATCAAATGAGATAAAATAACAAATGCACTTTAAGCTACCCAAAATGTTAACCGTATACGTTTACTTTTCATTTGTGGTTTATTTAATGACGCTGCCAGTAGTTCAGACTATACGGCTCTCGAAACGTCGGTTTCTTAAGACCACTTGACACGGCTGATCGTCAGTGAAGACTTCACTGACGTTTTGTAAGATTTGAGGTTTTCACAGCGGTGAGTATGAAGATTTCTGTCTTCTGGGTTGTTGCGCTGTGTAGTCTGGTCGATGGTTACCAACGTTTCAGAGGTCATACTGCCTCCGTCATCAGGGCGATTCTTAGTATGAAGATTTCTGTCTTCTGGGTTGTTGCGCTGTGTAGTCTGGTCGATGGTTACCAACGTTTCAGAGGTCATATTTCCTCCGTCATCAGGACGATGAAATCTTCACTGAAGTTTTACTTAACTAAAACCTTTTAAAGCTAAAACATCTCAGCGATATTTTAACCTGCGGCTTTCTCTGTCTTTATAGCACGGATATGACACGGCTCCTCTGTTGGTGTGGCTACAAGGAGGGCCAGGATCGACGTCTCTGTACGGGCTCTTCACAGAGCTCGGTCCCTTCTTTGTCGGACTGGACGAAAAATCGCTCGACAAGAATCCGTATTCATGGCACAAGAATCACTCAATCATTTTCATAGATAATCCCGTCGGGACAGGTAGACCAATAAAAATTACACATTTTATCAACAATAATTGTGTTGCCTACATTATTTGCCGCGTATTTAAGAAATGTTAGTGTGCTACGGACAAGCTGAGACAGTAGAGTCCTAATGCGACTGACGGTGGGTTGGACGATTGGCGTTATATTCCCTGAAAAGACCAGAATTCTTTTCTTTGCTATTGTGTCCACGTTGGGAGTCAACCCAAGATTCAGGAATGTGCGGAGATTTACCTCCACTCTCAGCTTTTACTGAATCACTCAGTGTCTCGAAAACCGACACGCCTGGGTCCACCTCTTTCTTTGGACAGGAACAATACAGAGTTTCTTTTCTACAAGAATGTTACGTTAAACTACATAAAGAGATTGACAATCTTAGAATCTTATTCAGACAATTCTATTCCAGGAATATGTGTTGAATGATCCACTTACTGTAGAGTTACTTCGGTTTTAATGATACAATACGATTTCTTTCTTCAGGATTTAGCTTTACAGACCACGAAGAAGGATATGCCAGAGAACAAGTACAAGTTGGAGCTGAATTATACTCCGCTATTATTCAGTTTCTGAAATTATTTCCGGAACTGCAAAAAGTTCCCTTCTTCATAACAGGAGAATCCTACGCTGGTAGGTTAAACATAAATTTAAATCTAGCTAGCTTACATAATTTTAATCCTCTGGGTGCGGCGTTCCCAACACTTGCTTAAGATATTTCAGAATCTGACGCTTTATTGTGGCAATGAAAGTTTATATTACTAATTAGCTCTTTCGTGTGATAAATTTAGTCTTTGTTACTGTTCGAAATTTAAAGACGTCCATATGCAATTTGGATAAATGTCTCTACTTGCTCTTTTACGTTCGTCCAGTATCTTGCCCTGCCTGTCCTTGGTTTTGTTGGGCTATTTAAGTGGCAAGGAACAGTATATTTGTCGACATAATTCTGGAACCCTTTTGCCAGAACCTATATTAATAATTTGATGCACCACAATTTGATTCTTCCACAGGAAAATATGTACCCGCGTTTGCTCACACAATACACCAAAACAATCCTACAGCGGAGCTGAAAATTAACTTCCACGGTAAGAAAAATACTTGACCTGTTTCGAAGATAACTGATAGGAAAATGTGCACAATCATTCACTTTATCTTATTTTTATACAATCTACCCACTACAATATGACTGAATAAGTGTTATGAATCCTATTGCACACAGGAATAGCAGTTGGTAATGGATTCACTGATCCCATCACCATCCTGGACTACAGTCACTTCCTGTTCCAGCTAGGCTTGGTAGATACCAACACGTATCGTGAAATGGTGGCTGTTGAATCGAATGGCAAAGTAGAAATCCAAGAAGGCAGACTCGTGGAAGCTTTTTTGGTGTGTACAAAAATTCTTCCATTTTAATTCATCAGTCTTTGTTCCATCCATGTTACATATATTCATCTCCCAGCAGACGTCTATGCATCTGTCCACAGTCCATAATTATTTCCATGGTCCTACACTAGGTATCCCGAATTTCTTCACCCCACCCTGTAAATAAACGGGTAGTGCCTTAAATTAGACCAAGCCCGTCTCCTTCCGTATCCTTTCATGAGTAACTAATAAATCCATAAACAAACTGAATACTTTATCCCACAAAAGGACCCTCACCTGAGCCATTCTACCATATTAAATTTCTCAAATATACGATATTCGCTTGAATATTATTCCATACAAATTCATACGCACTCCAATGTGGTGTCATCCCGTGAGGCTTTCGTATAATGCGCATGCATTTGACGTATCCGTGCGTTATAATTCTCCAGCGCCTTGTTACTTCACACGGGGCTACAACCCAAAAGACCGACTTCGAACCTTAAACATCATAAAACGAGACATCAAATTGTAGATCTAACATTCTCTTACATGCATGTTTCAGAGTTGGAACAGAGATTTGGACATATTCATGGTGCAGTCAGATTTCTGGAACCTGTACAACCTGCTGTACGAAGTTGAACCGGAAGTGGGAGGAGATCTGTACAATTTTGTAGAGCTACCGGAAGTGCGCCTAGCTCTGCATGTTGGCGATCAGCCGTTCTCAAGCGGTGGAATTGTATACCAGCTGATGATCCCCGACTTCATGAACTCAGTTCGACCGTGGCTTGAGGAAGTCATTGAAAATTACCGAGTGCTCTTCTACAGCGGGCAGATGGACATTATTGTTGCATACCCACTGACAGTCGGTATGTACAATACTCTGGAGTTCAAAGATGCAGAGGGGTACCGCAACGCTGAGCGTGTGCCCTGGTATGTGGGCGAACAACTGGCAGGGTACACGAAGACTGGTGGAAACTTCACCGAAGTACTGGTGCGGAACGCGGGCCACATGGTGCCTACCGATCAACCTGTGTGGGCTTTTGACCTGATCTATCGGTTCACTAGAGACGCCCTAGTCCCGAAAAATAAGCAACCTTAAAGCTGACGTTCGTTACTTAAGAACCAAAGTAACGAGGCCTTCTAAAGAACCCGCAGTTTTGCGGCATGATGTCATTCTAACAAACACTTCAAAATAAATATCTCTGTATCTTAGAAGCAAATCAAAAATATTTCGTCGTAACTGCATGCCTATGTCTCAACAAATGAACTCCATAATAAAGATCATGTAGAAAGTTCTGTCCTAATGTTCGTGGTATACGTACAATGTAAGCTAAATGTACATCATTTTTGTTACTACAGATGTGTGAATTATTTTGAACATTACTGTCAGTGAACATCATGGCAACATAAAATCTGTTACAAAGTCAATCCTACACATACAACTTCATAAATATTTTTAAAATACTTCAATGTGTACCGGGTACATAGATGCAATTACTTTAAACAAGTAGGTACTAATTTACAGACCTGAGGAAGTTCACATGTCACCTACAATATATAACAAAAAATGCATTGTATTATACGCTCGAATTTCATTAGCAAGTTTTCAATTAACTGGGTTCGTCGTTCATTGTTGTTTCATTCCATTAAATATCTGCAAAGCTGTACATAATATTCAATATGATTATTCTTAAGTTATACTGGACATTGTCCATTGACTAAGGCTACTATTTGACATTAACGATGTTTCGGTACATATCTCAACTTCCGTATTCAGGTAACTGGTTGCAATTATAATAACAATATCCACAATATTAAAGTAAACAAGAAACATGAAGTGCAATTAGAGCATTCGGATGTAAGAGTGAGGAAATACCACTAGGGCGGAGAAAACAGCATGTAACATGGGTTTCATAATTTGTAGGAGTACTCTTCATGTAATATCATTACGCTGATCATACAAGGGAATATGAAGTTTTCCATAACACGTAGAAATCATGGGAAATACGAGAAATTAACTCACAAGTTTAGTCAGAAAGCAGAAACGGGTGACAGGGAGACTTCGGAAAAGTTACGAAGAATTCGGCAAGATAAAATTGTACAAGTTAGCATCTAGGCAAAGAGTATTACGAACACAGAAATGAACCTTCGAGTTCCATACAGACGGCGAATGCCATGACCAGCTTATCGATTGTCGGCGTCACAATGACACACTGAGATAATGTCTAAGAACATAGCCCGCACTGCATAGTAGAGTTAAACCTACTGACCTATTTTAGATAATGTCTTCAGTAGACATCACTTTCACTGTAATTTCCGCGCGTTACCACAGAAACGAATTAGCTGCATCAATCCCTTCGCGACATTGCCATATTAAAAAGTTCTATGTACAGGTAGCTCTCGACTTACGCCGTGGATGTGTTCCTGGACGAACTAGGGGTACATTTGAACGACTGTATAAGTTAAATCAATGGGAAGTCAATGACATGCGTTCCAAGCACCCAAACATTGACGAGTAATATAATGTCATTATATTTAAAGCTCTGAAATAACGTAAATAAAATAAAGGGGATTTAAAGAATATATTTTATACACTTACAATCGGCAATTCGTTGGTCCCCGCGATTGACTGCGATTCTTTCATGTGATTGATGTGTACAGTCACCTCTGCTGTTATGCGATAGTTGCATTCATGTAAGACGCCGACCCATAGAAAATCGTAGTAAATATAACCCCGGTACCTCTGCAGAGATTAAATTAGTCCTTAGAAAGTTTCAAGCGCTAGGAATGAAATTGCATAAGAGCAAACTCGCATATGCAAAAATTTGCATTTCACAAACAGCTTTTACCGATTCATCGATCTCATTGGAGCAAATTCGCGTTAACGAAACAAAAGTAATTGCAGAGATGACTGTATTTATAATTTTTATTCAAAATCAGCGATGTAAGAATTACGATTTAGTATAAGAAGCAGTATGAGAAACACTGTAAAACGCTACAAATAATAGTATTTTTTCTTCTCTTTTTGACTTTCTGGTTTCAAAATCGGCGTTATTCTGAATCGGCGCAAATCGAGGGCTACCTGTACTTCAGACATCCCACGTACCAGGATTCACATGTCACATTATATCAGCAGAGTTAAACATAAGCCAGGGAATGGGTATTTTCTGCAACTTCCGAAAAGAAAAGATTAATAAGCCGTCCGACTGACTGACAAATGTTTACCGCATGCTGGCATTGGTTGGTCTCATTCAGTGTCAACTTTTCATTTGTGAGATTCAGATTCAAAATTTCAAACACTATCACTTCAATTGTTTTACTGGTTTTACTCAGCTCATCCGAACAAGACTTCATATCACCAGTAACGCACAACTCCATAGCTCTTGGAAGTGTCAGATTGATTCGGAGGAAACCTAAAGGGAAGATAATAACGCCTACACTGACATGTTAGAGCTACACGCCTAACATGCTTGTCAAAGAAGTTGCCATACCAGCACGGCGCTGCAGAAGTCGTCTCTCCAAATGGAACATAGGCCCATTGGATTTACTTAATTCCAATCCTCAATATATCACTAATTAGAGTTAAGGCATATTAACTCGTATGTAACAAACCAACAAACAACGCTCGATTAAAATGGCTGAAATTCCAAAAGAAAAAATAAACCCTGCAAGTTTTAAAAACATCGTGAAAACATTCGCTAAGCACACGTTCCTTAAGAGTAAGAAAATACGCTAAATAATTTTTGCACTCAAAATGGAGCATAAAACTTGATCTTTCCATGATTAGCATCCGACTCACTTTTGTCCAACTTCTTGCAAGAGGTAATTCTTTCTGACACGAGGCAACCGATCGTCGCATTCGATTAACAATCACTCCTGCGTCGTACTAGTAATAGGGGTATTTTTGGACTGACTGAAGAAAAGCAAGTATCCGAACTTACTTTCGATCCGAGGTTCTCCCTAATGCGAAGAATGCATAGTATGAAGTTCCTCGTTGGTTAATGTTCTCCTTGTCATAGATTCAAATAGAATGTGTAAAACTGTTATTTTGGACTTTGTCCATCGTACAAATTATCAAATCATACAATCACAACGTTCTCAAACGCTGTTTTCAGCTTTCGTCATCAGGTAAAATAGGGGGAGTTGCCTCTGGCCTGTACAGGTCTAG